GGACAACTGGTTTATTACAGGTGTAAGCAATCCTGCCTTCTGGATGGGGACTGTAGTTGGTAGCTTTCCACATATTATCCATTATACCCAGACCAACCAGAGAGATTTATGTGCTGGTTTTAATAAGCATTGTGCTCATTTATTTGCTTTCTCTTCTGCAGCAGAGTAAACTCTGGCTTCCTCTGAGTTGTGCAGCTGCTGTAAATGGTAATAAGACAGCAGTGTTGGTCACAGCAGTGCTGTGTCGGAGATAGAGCAAGTGCAGGATGAGTATCTGAGAGTTGTGTCTGGAGCTGGAGGGGGGAAAAGTTTAACATGAAAATGAACTACATGCAATTACCAGTTTATGGGGAAGCTCATAAAGGGATCCAGCTGGTGGTGGCACTGGATTGTTAAAACTGTTCTTCTGAACAAACTAAAAGAAACGTGCACCTTTCAGTTAGCAGAAATTGTCAGAGCATCCTTGAATATTTCCTATTCATGAGAGCATCATGGCCAAATTTAACGTCACATGTACTTTGTGGTTCATCTGGAGAAACCTAAATTGACACTCATCACTGGCATAGCAGCACTAGTATAAAAGCTGCAGGAATATATTTTATGTTTCTGTGACAGAGCCATCATCACAGCATGCAACCTCCTTGAATTGAGCTGTTTGAATGACACTGAGTTGTGATTTATGCCAGTTTGCTTGACTGCAATGTGGGTCCTGCTCAGGTCCATCTTGTGAGCAGCCATAGGGAATTGGAGTTGATACTGAAGCAGTTAGAAGATGATTTTGCAGTTCCCTGCTAGCAGAAGCAGTGTTGGTGTGGGTCCGTTCCCTCCTCGGTGTCTGGTGTGGAGTGGTGAGGAGCCTGGGGAGAACATCTGTGACTTTTGTTTTGAGAACAGGTGAAACTGTATTGTCACAGCAAAAAGAAGTCACAACAAATAACTGTGGTACCACTCCAGCTTATACTCACTTCACTGTTTTCCATCTCTCTGTACTTCATTAGAATTATCTGGTAAAATCTACATGCTGTAAATCTAGGTCTGCAAATGAAGATGGTTTTTTTAGCAATTAGCATGAAAATAAAAAGGGGTAACCCTGTATCCAGATTGCCAACATTAAACAGAAGAGCTCTCCAGAGAAAGCTTTCAGTGGTGTGTATGCAACAGTATGGGCAGACACAGGATGCAAGGACTTGGGAGTATTATGCCTGTCTTTTTCCAAAGCTGGCATTTACCCGTGCTGCATGGCCACGTTGGTTGCATGCAGATCTCACACTGGGTTGTTTCCCAGTTCACTCTCCATGATATGCTCCAGACATCTGGTGATACCAGTATTACTAACTTAAAAGCTGGGTCGTCTTCTTATACCAGGCTTGTTTGAACTGAATTTAACCCTTTGTCCTTAGTCTAGTCACCTGTAATTCTTCCTCTTTTTAATGTAATTTGATCATAAACTTCTAATAATAGATGAGAAACAAACTGCCTGTTCTTTATCAAAATCTGCACTGCATTGCTAGAGCTCTGCAAGGTTAACATATGCACGATGGACTATTGAAACAAGCTGCTGAGAGCGTTGTTGTAATATCTGCGTACCAAACATTTCTCTGACTTATACTCCCAGAGACCCCCTGCAGTGATTTTGTAAGTCATGGCAAAATTTAGACTGCTACTTGTTATCTGGTACATATTTCTAAGACATTGCCAAACAAAAGGCTAAATTTAAAAACTGACTTCTGCTGTCAGGGTTTTCAGATGTGCCAAAGGAACATGTGTCAGCAATTTTAGGCTTAGCTCTCACGTAATTGTGAAGTATTCTTATTTTTAGAGGTGCTCCTGGATGATGAAAACTGAGAAATTTCTCTTGGCTGTTCGAGTTCCATTTACTGTCACTGCTTCTTGATTATTAATGTCATTTCAAGAATTTATATTGAAATGGAAAAAAAAAGTGCACAGAAAACAATTCCTCTTTTGTTTACATGACAAAGTTATTGTTTCCAAAGAGAAAAATGCTTTTAATGGTTTCATTTGGCTTTGCATACTCATATGGACAGCCATGGGGTCCTGCACATACATTCTGTCTTTTTTGTTTCGTTGTGTATTGCCTTCATCTGCAAGTCAGTTTGCCTTATCCCTGATGATATTTTATTTCTTTAAATTTTTTTAATAAGTATGAGGATGGGGAAATAGACTGTGCTTTGGTTATAGAAAATGAGACAGAGACAGACTCTTCAATGCAGGGAGGGAAATGTGTTTGAATCTCAGATCCATCCTACATCACAGGATCAGCGTAACTGAGCTGGGAAATGTGGTGGTTTCTTCCCAGCTCATACCTGAATCATATATCAGTATATAGCCCAGTGATTTGAATAGAAGAATAAGATGCTGCTGCCTAGTTACTTACCTGAAATATTAATCTTTAAACTGCTTTATAGTGATTTTATTCTCATTCATGGATGGAGGTAAATATTTTCAGTTGAAGTAATTCTGAAATTAATGTTTGGCAGTAGGATTATTTCAGAACTCTATTTTTGGACAAAGACTTTTGAGTAAACCTGATAAGGGAAACTTTGTATTTTGCATGATTTCTTCAATTTAGTACAGTATGGTATCTTATGTTCCTGTAAACTTGGCTACTTACATCACAGTAAAGACTTAAGCGTTATTATTATTTCAGTTATTGAAAGGTACCCACCTTAAACATGTAGGTTTGCTCATGGCCATGTGTCATCACCATTGGTGGCTGTCATTTAATTGTCTAGCAGCTATTCCACAGCATTTCTCTTGCCCACTGTCACTTTTGTGTCCATGTCCAGCCCTGAAGCATTGTGGATCCGGGCCAGCAGTTCATTTCTAGGCTATTACTAATGTGCAAGATTTTATAGTCATCTCTTAGCAATTGAGCTGTAGATGCAAAAGTCCATTCTGTTAGTTCTTTGGTGATGAACACTAGGATTCTAGGTGATACCCTGTAGTCTGCAATCACTGATTTGAGCCTATCTTTAGTAATCACTGCCTTCTGTTTTGTCTCCGGAAAATGGAAAGATTTATCTGTGACCACCTTGCTACCTTTGTTTTTTAATAAAGACCTCCCCAAACTCAGTGTAGGAGTGTCAGCTCAGCACTCCCTCCATCCTGTCCTCTCTTGAGATGACTTGGTAGCTGTCATCCCTTTTCAATGCTGTGTCTGTGGTGTGAGATTCTGAGGTTTGTAGTCAGCTTATGCTGATCAGCAAGGTCCAGCCATGGCCCCAGACTCATGTTGCTCTGTGGAGAGTTAGATCATCTCAGCGATTCTGTAAATTAACTTTAAAAATATGCTGTCGTGTCAGGTTTTTTATCACCTCTGGAAGGGTCCCACTGCAAGTGCTCTTGTGACATATCCTGTATCTCATCACCAAGGAGAAAAGCTTGGTCTTGCATGTTCCTTACCATCACTGCAGCTCTGGCTGTGTGAGGTGGTGTTATGGTGAGGGCATTCTGGATAGGCTCAAGAGCACAGGGAAGGAGGAGTAGCTGTCAGGGGAATAACGCATGTAGCTTTATCCACACTTCTGGTAAAGAGCAGAGCGAGCAGATCAAGTCAGAAAGCTGTGCTTGCTGTCATTGTCTTCTCTGCCTCCAGACATTTGACCCTGCCTTGGAAGCTGGTCTTGGGCCAACTCAGAAAAGAGCCACTGCTGTTGTGACTCAGAGTCAGCTTCGCTGAAATCATTAGTTAAGCCAGCACATAAGCAATGTGAGACCAGCATCAAGATTTCTTGTTGGCATTTTTTCTCCTAACTGGGCTAATGGCATTTAGCTTATGAACTTACTGTCATCTTAGTTTTTAGTGAATGGGATTAAATTTATATACTGAACATAAGTTGCTCTCCCTGACTTTTGTAGGACGAATCCTGGACTTGAAGACTGGAACTGTAAAGAAGGAGGGTCAGCAGTCCTCAATGAGAATGTGCATGGGATCAAGGCGCTCTTTCATTTGCAGGATGAGGTATGCATTTACCTTGTATTCCTGTGATGGTTCTGGTCCCATCTCAAATTAGATTCAGACATTTTGTTGCACTAATTTGAACTTAAAACTGTAATGACACGCTCCCATTAAGCATTTCCAGAATGCTTGTTTTTGGAACTGGAGTAAAACTGAAACCTTTCTTCCTTTACGATTAATGACAAAACAGCACCAAGTTTGTGTGTTGCAGTTATTTTTATGAGAGTGGGGTATAACATGCTTTCCCCAGAGAACTTCATGACAACTTCACCCCTGGAATGTGAGCTATTGTCTGCTCCAGTCAAATTATTTGCATCGGTACTTTAGGAACAAGGCTTTCACAAACCCAACTCTGTGTATTTTTTCAGCAAACCAGTAATATTAAAAGAATCTTGAAGACAAACAGGAATTCAGTTGCAAACTTGCCAGCTGTGTAGGAATTAACCTAAGCCTGGTATGAATTAACCACATGTCAGCTGGTTGATGCTAGATAAATGAGTAATTGTTAGAGGGTTTTTATTTTGCAATTTTCCAACTTCTCCTGCATTGCTTGGACTTCTTGAAAGAGATTTGCCTGACCAGTGCTTCTGGCTGGGGCTTGTGGGCACTTCTGTCGTTGTAGTGCTAATGGGATAAAATGCCTGTCACTATTGCAATAAATTTCTGTCTGTGTGGTTAGTGGGGAAAGTACAAAATTGCATCTGCAGCCTATATCCAGTATCTATGCTGAAAACAGATGATGCAAAATTTGTTACGGAATGAAACTCGCAAAGTAGAATATTTGACACATTACGGCAGATGCCTGTACTTTGGTTATATGGTGGATTTTCTTCCAGACATGTGAGGAGGCTGAATGTATGGCTCTTGGGTGCCTTTGTAAGGGTTTTATGTATTTTATACCTCCAAGATCAGACTTCAGAGCTATGGCACCTTTTCCCCCTTAAGCCAGGGGAAAGACATACTGCCTGGCAGAGAGGCACTGGGAACATTGCTTTTTCCTCCTTCAAGCTGCACACAGTGATCATGTGAAGAGGACTCTTTTGTGCAAGGAAAACTAGGCCTAATGTCCTGTTTACAGTTGTTCCTTGGCTTTTAAAACAACAATTCAGATAGATTGCAGTTATTTCCTAGCACTCTGATTCTGTAAACTCCAGCACATGAGAGCACATGCCAGTAGCCCCATTGTTTTGGTTTTGGAATTCTAAATTTTATTTTAATTGTTCATTCCTTCTTGGCAATGACTGGTGTGAAAAAAAAACAAAACCAAAACCCAAACTTTGTGGGAAGAATGAGCTTCAAACAATGTGAACCTTCCTTGTGATTACTGCTTTCATTGTTACTGTTCTTCTTTTTCATTGAAAATTAATTGCTTTTACCCTTCAAACTGCTCAGCTTCAAATGGATTGTTAAAATTCTACAGTTGGGCATATTTAGTAATATGAAAAATGTAAATGGTCAACTGTTAAAGAAACTTACTTGACAGTGTAAGTAGTCTGTTCTTGCAAATGTTTGTTCAATGACTGCTAACATTGTAGCTGGTGTATGGCAGTTGAAATACTCTGTCCAGGGGAGCTACTGGAACACTGAGATTATTTTCAGTGGATATATCCATATCCAAAAGAATGTGGATATATTCTTTTCTAGTTTTCACCCTTGTTTTATAGTATTTTAAAGTGTATCTGTACTTCAGCCACTCTTTGAATATCTATTTCAAATAATCTTTAGGTTGGGGGAGTACAGGAGGGAAACTTCTTGTAGTCTCTTCTGTTTTTCTAAAATAAAATGCATGTTTGTAGCACACACAAAAAGCTCAGCCTTTGGAAGCAGCAAGTTCTGAGAAAACATGAATCTGACTTTCTGTCAGAAATAAATATCCATTATTGTCTACTTATATATGCTAATAAAGATCTTAAAATGTATTTTCATCCTGGGTATTTTTATTCCTTTTTGAGCCCTTTCAAATATTAATTTACTTTTAGGTGTGGAAATGCTCCTCTGGATCATTTACCTCTGAACAGAATAACCACCATGAGAAAAAGATACAGGTACTATTACTTAACTTATCACAACAGTTAGTTGTCATAAACACTCTCATTTTCCACTGGGCTAATGCTCCCTCAAGGAATACAACCTGGCCAAACATCTCCATTAGCACACAGCATAAAACAGCTCTGGGGCTCAGGAGAGAGCTCACCACTAAATTCAGCTGTTGGCAGAGTCATTGGATCTTTTTGCAAACCAGATCTTTTTGTACGAGTCACTCAAGTTCTTTGTATTAACCAGCTCCATTCTTCAGTATCTTTGTCAGAGAAGTATTATGGAATGCAGGTATGGCTTGAACCATTTAATGGAGCTGACATAGTACAGAACTCCAGGTTTGTTGTTTCTAACGTGACTTACAAATACCAGTAAATCATTAGTAGTTGTAGTTTAAGAGCATAAAGCTATTCTGCATGTCAATCAACACAGTATTTTTGTGTTTCTTTTTCATTTAGGAATGGCCTTGGCCCAGTAAAAGAAGGCGAAGCACAGTATGCTGTTGTCCATTGCACTGGCTATATCAAGGCTTGGCCACCAGCAGGTATGTATGTATCTCACTGAAGGTGCTGTGCACCACACTGTCTTCAAGACAGTTGAAAATCTGGCTCAGGTTCCTTTGCCGGTACAAAACCAGGTTGAATTTCAGTGGGGTAACCAATTCAGTCTCATCTTGATAAGTTTTTGATAGCAAGAAATCAGCTGTTACTCGGGGCCTCCTCATTTTTCCATGTGAAACCCTTCCCACTTTCATTGGCACAGAGGAACCGTAGGAATTGTTGATAATGTAGGATTCCAGCAACTGGGATCAGAAGTTTTCATTCTGATAAACCAACATAAAAATTGACTGATTATAATAAGGTAGACACAAAGCATTTGTACCACTAGAGAGTACCAACTCTGCTTTTATACTTAAGTACTGAGTTGCAAGCACCCATGTATGGAAATGTGTAATTTCGGCGCATAGGCCTTCCCAGTGGTGGGGTTAGTAGAGAATGTTCGGAGATTGCATTAAATTCTGTTTTGAGGCTGTTTTTCTGGGAAACAAGTCTTGGCATATTGCTTTGAACTACAGAGAAAAACATTTACCTACTGTAACTCAGTATTACATATGGGAATATTTACCTTTGAAAAATCCAAGGAGGAGACAGCGGAGCTCATCCAAACACCATCATGAACTGGGTGAGTTGACCTTGGCGTTTGCAGGAGAGGCTGTTTGCAGTATGACAGTGCCTGCTGGCATGAATCAAACCATGAGTTGTCCTGCCCTTTTGCGGTCACGTACCACAGGCATAAATCACATTTGTGCAGGGATTATGGATGCTAAGAGGTGGTTTGCACTAAGTTTGTGCAGTGGTGTGCAGACACCAGCATGCAGATGTGAACTTCTTGCTGATTTCCTGCTGGATTGGAGTTTTGGAAGAAGAGGAAAACTTCCCCTTTTCTTGCTAATGGGGATTAATATTTTTCAGTGTGCTACAGGAGTCAAAATGTTTTAGTTTAATTTCTGTCTCAAAAGAGCACAGTGTGTGTAAATTGCTTTATGAAAATGAAAAGTTGGGAATTTGTTGGGGTTTTTTCTTCCACAAAGAGATTAACTTTTCTATCAGTAATCCCAAACATACTTGAATTCAGCCTTGATATACAGGATGTCTCTTCAGGAAGGTGCCAGTCAAATGAGATTTCTTGCAGCTCCTTGCTTAGCTTGAATGAAAAGCTTGGTGCATGTTATGGGATGTTTAAAGAGGTCTAACACTTCAGGGTGGATGTCACTAATGCAGAGCTGCAGACTCACGAAATCGTGTCAGTGCTGGGTTACAACATCAGCAGTGTATGAATTCAGCAGCCATTTCTGCAGGGGAGCAGGCACTGCTGTGCAGGAGAATGGCATGTAAAGGAACTTCGGGATCTTGAGTGACCTGTTACCAGTTACCACACTGTAAATTCCAGTTTACTTTAGTGAGGTGCCATCCCTGTCTTGAGCTCTTACAAAACCTCACTGCTCTTCTATGCTTAACAAGCCCTATACTTTTCAGTCCTCATTAGTCTATGGGAAGTTCATGCCGGTGTATCCTTGGATTATATTTTACTGAAGATCAAGTGGGAGTTTTCCTGCCTTTTGTCTGTATATCTCCAGTGTTCTGGTGCATTTCCAAAAGGAAGTCATATCCTGTTAGCCTTGACTTTTCACAGTTAAACCAGCCTGCTTCTTCTAATCTCCATTCTCACAAGGCATTATCCTTGTGTCTTTCCTTTGCACTTGTTTGTGTTTTCACTGAATTTTTCAAAATGTGGGTCATTGGCCCTATACACTCTTGTTCCAGGTGAGATTGTAGTGATGCATAATGAAAGTGGTATTTCCTATCTTGACTGGCAGTATATAACACAGCATGCTTCTCTTCTGTATAGTGTATCCTGCTGGCATCTTAAATCACCTGATATATATATATATGTGTATATATGTATATATACACACACACACACCAGGCTGCCTTCTTCTCAGTTATCAAGTCTAAATCTTCCAGTTCATAGCAAAAATAGCTTTGAATTGTGTGATCTTTCAATTAATAATATGAAGTTTCATCCCATTTCTGTTGCTGTATTTTATGGCTGTTATTAGTCCCCAGGTGCATGCTTATGCATTTAGTAATGTTGAATTTCATCCCATTTCTATTACTACTCTCCTCAAGATCACATGGTGCTTCCTTATAATATCCCAGTGCTCCTCCACAATTTTAATGCCTCCAAACTATAGCACAATCCTAAGGGATGTGTTTGATTTTGACAGTCTTATGTGGAATTCCAGTGGTTTTTTATGTTACCATCCAAATTGTTACTCATAATAGTCATGCCTGAGTGCCTTTTTCAGGGCATATTGTACTGAATCAGAGGCTCCTTCATGAGTGTTTATTTGCCCTCCTAGTCTTCTCCACTTTGTGTTGGTGATTGTCATGTATCCATTGACTTCTGGAGTTGAATGAGAATATCCATGGGCCGATTTGGTCCCCAGTATGTGTTTAGGTAAATAAGTGGCAACACCACTGCATTTGTTCTCATTTCCAGCGGTAATTCAACCATAATCTGTAAAGCAAATGAAATAACTGCAGCAGTAATTGAATTTGCTAAGGCTTTTCTACCCAGTAATAGAATTACTTCTGTTCTAATCAGTCAGAGAGTAGCAAGGCTCTGGCCTTTGCTTCATCTCTGGCTTCTTGAGAATAAATGGGTTTGTACTAAATTACAGCTATTAAAAGTTCAGCTATGGAAAGAATGGTTTTCATTTATTTTTCAATTGCCAAGTGGACACTTTAATATAAACTCATCCTTTTCTTTCAGAGATACAGTGTGGCATGTGCATTATGCAACCTATATGCAGCACATAAAACATACTTTCATAAATGAAATAACAAATATTTAGCAAATGCACTTAATGTGATTTGTTTAGCACCTGGTATTTTCTGTTTCTGGATTGTATGGCATTGTCTGTGGCCAATGTGTTAATTTTTTTAGTCCCACACTGAGTATAATGCAACCAGTATTGATACAGAAATACCAAGGCAAGAACTGCTCTCTGATCCTTATTAGTGTGATAGACTATCAGATTTGACAATGCTGTTGCTTTGAGCAGTCTGTTAAATCTCTTAAGTAATTTGGGTACTTTACAGGTGAAAACAAATAAACTGCAGACAGCTGGCCATCAGTATGATGGCATATTTTAAGGACTGGGGGTTTGTGGTTTTGTTGTTGTTGTTTTTCCAGAGATCTAAAGTAGAAAGCAATTTCTGTTACGACTCGGGTTTGTGGTCAGCCTGAAAACACTTTTGGACATCTAGCCTACCTTGTTCTGCTTTTTTCTTGCTTTAGTGGAGAAGGAAGGCTCACTTACTGGCAGGCTATTAGCCCCTTTTTCACTGAGAAATAGGAGAGAAAACACAAGGACATCATGCCTTGTCCTCCATTTAGGCTGTGCTAGTTAATGGTCAGTTCATTTTTCTCTGTTTCTCTGCAAGAGAAGGGTAAAGCTAAGCCTGAGTATAAACCCCGGCATATGATACCTACACGTTTATAGCTCCATAAATTACAGGTTGGCCTCAAGTAATAGGGGTAAACTTTGTGTAGAAGTCAAAGGAAAAAGGAGTCAGGTACTCCAGAATGATATTCCAACCAGTTATGTCATATGTTATACTAAAGAATGACCATGTAGTGTTGGATGATTTTGAATGAGGTAAAAAGACCCCTTGTCTGAAACTGGCTGAACACAAATTTCAGCCTTTGTCCCTCTGTTCCTGGCAAAGCAGCACAGTTAGAAGAACTTGGGATCCTTAGCTTAGACCATGCTTGGAGTTCATAACCAGTCACAAAGCTGGGAAATGCTGTGTTCATTCAGTTTTCAACTTGTGGAAGCTTTTCTTTTATTATTTTTCTCCCCTCTGAGCATCTCATTCCTGGAAGAAAATGAATCCTATGTGGTCTATATGGTATTTTCCTAATAGGTTTTTTTGGGGTTTTATGCCATAACAATTGATGGAAAATATTTGGTGGAGAGAGAAGATGCAGTCTGTCAGGATGTTGGTAGTTTTCTGTAAATGAAAACCAAGGATCTGCAGAAAAACACATAGTGAAGAAGAAGCTTAGATAGATACTCATTTCGTAAACTTCAAAGAGAAAGTCCCAAAATAAGGTTAAATTCAAATAATGTTGAAATCTTTTTTTCTCCTTAGTTAAACAAGAAACATTTTAGTCTTCCAAGTCAGACTTACCGTAACGTCTTAACCACAGCATGCCAAAGCTGTTAGGTTATTTTAACGTTTTGGCCAGAATCTGGACATTTGTGCAAAGTACTCCCTCTTCCAATACAAAACAAAATAGTTGCTTGAATATTCTTTGCAGTGCTGTCATTTTCAAGGGGTTTTTTTTCCTTTCTTTTTCTTAGAAGAATTTCAGTTTTGTTGGGTTTCTTTCATGAGATTTTTCCTTGGTATGCTGTAAACATCCACAGCCTTTTTCCATTGTGTATGGGAGATAGTCACACAGTGCAGTTTCATGCACAAGCGTGTAACTATCAGAACTGGTTCTGATGGAGATAGGCATTAACAGGGGATTGCTGGTGACTGCTGGGCGCTTAAATAGTGTCCTTCTGAAGACTTACACACTGTTTAATTCTGAGTGTAGTGAGGTAAAACCATAAAGCCACTAACACTATTCTGTGTTTCACAGAAAGATAGACAAAAAAGGCAGAAAATGGTTCTGTTGTGTTATTAGAGCCAACTGGTAGCTCATTGGAAAAACTAGTAAGTTCCTTATGTCCACACAAACACATGCCGTTGCCCTGTGGGAAACTGTTTGCTGGCATAAAGAACACTTGGAAATTAAATATAACCTTTCATGACACTGCCTTCTATTTGTGAGGCTCAGTTGCAGGCTGAGCTTTGTGAATTGTTGATGTCAACTTGAACAAGCATAGCACTATATTTATTATTCAAGAGGAGCATATATTTGGTGTTGAGAAATCCAGTCTCAGGGTTACATGTAAAGAATGTGAATAACTAATGTATGTTTATTTTGTTGATGCTGCCTAAAGCATGGCTGCTTTCTTCCAGGCTTTTGCAACTTTTTTTTGAGATAATGATGGTACTTGGTGATGTTAAGGAACAATATTACATGGTGTTAAGAGCTGGACAAACCAGTATTAAGTGCAATGCACATATCTTTATTTACCTAACTATACTGGAGTACGTTCAATAGTATGTTAAAGCAAAAGTAAATCTCTTATACAAATGCATTCTTCCAAAAAAGCACACCCGCAGCTGAATCTTTGTAACTACCAGCAACAGAATGAAGAAAAGAATTTCCCTTTATGGAATGCTGTCAGTAATAGCACCTACATTGCAGATGAGGAGTCAATCATTTTGGCATGTTTTCACTCTAGGCACATTTAGGGAAGGGTTAGCAATTCACTGGGTCAGGTATTGATTAATTCCAGACAGACTGTTTTTTATTCATGGGGTGTCTTGTGAGACAGCCCAACTAACACATTTTCCACTGTGTTATAGAGACCAATTGTAATCCACCCTTGAGGGGGAAAGAAACCAAAAGGTGAAAACTAGAAGAGCATCCCTTGCCAAAAGAGTGACATCAGAAATGATGCTTCTTAGCTAGGTTTAATTTTGGGGCTTGTTTGTTGCTTTGAGTTTAATTTTGGGCAGTAGCAAGCATGGACCAAGTTCCTAAAAAGGAAAGTGTGTTTGAAAGCTGCAGGAAAAAAAGATTATGCAAAGTGGAAGCCATCCAGCTGAGTGTCTTTGCTGTCATTCTCAATACACTGTGCCACTAAGGAAATGATTGAAAAATCTTTTGAAGTCAAGGGATAAGACTTTAAATTTGTCCCTCTCAAATGGAAAACTCTATTTAAGAGGGATCTTTTGGTTAAGGTTATCCAACTAGAATGCCTACAGTTATTAAAACAGCACTTAGGCCATGTTTAAGTGGCCTGATTCTCAGAAGTGCTAGGCAGCCACCAAGAAAATCCTCTGAAGGAGGTATGGTAGGACCTAGAATCACTCACCATCTTTGAGATCAGACCCCCTGTACTGAGGTGTCTGAATGTAACTGTATGTTCATGTTATGTATGTATGTTCATGGTGTATGCTTCAGGCACCAGCTTTTAAAATGTTTGTTCTTTTGGCTGATGTTTGAACATGCCTTGCTGCTGACTTCAGGACTGAGGAACAAGAGATTCCTCATCCATCTCTGAAGAGATGCAGTCCTAGCTGCCATCTTCCAGCCAAAGTGTTGGGTCAGCTCTTCAGTATCTCCAGTGCTTGCTTTCCTCCCGTGGTTGTTTTTGTACACTGCTGCATTTCTTTCATAGCAGAGTCAATGTCCTCATGCTCCTTCCTAAACACGTTTTCATTTGTCCTGCTCTCTGTTCATACCTCCAGTCACAACTTTGTCAGGTGAAACTTCTGGCTTCCTCTTCTTATCCCCTGCAACTGCACACAATTCTCAGTTAACTATTTTCTACCTATTTAAAATTAAAATTGCTCATGTGGATGAGTCTAGGTTTAGTTTTGGAAGCTTGACCGTCCCTGTGCACCACATGCGTATGAGCAGATAGCAGCCATATGTCTGCCAAAATTTTGTCTTAAGTGGACACAGATTTGGGTCCATTTGGGTCCAACACAGGTATGTTTGCTTCTGCTTTTTCAGAGTAATATTGTCTCTCAAGAGGCAGCCAAATTCAGGTCCTTTGCCTATTGGAGCTGTTGTTAGCTTATTGCTACAACTTGTATTGAAGAAATAACTGTGTGTAAACACAGCAAGGAAGGAAAACAAAGTACTTCTGTAATATGAGTCTCTTAGCAGTAGTTCTATGTCAGTGGTTTATGCTCTCTGCGGTATGCTGGTGTCTCAGAGCATGGGACTTATTTGTGCTTGGGATCTTGTTTGTGGTTTCCTTAGTGTGTGGAGGAAAAGAGACTCGAATAGTGGTGTGTGAAATACTGAAGCAGGGCTTTGTAATTTAACTGCCTGAAGAACCTGATAAACTGCAGGCAGTGCAGAATAGTCATATAGGGAGGGTAAATGCAGGTTGTCTTCATTTCAAGGGCGTTCTAAATGAGGTGAAGAATCTCAAGTGAAAGTTTGGGTCCCTAGTGACCCACAGAGGGACCTTCATTGGAAGCACAAAATAATGTTTAATCGTAACATAACCTGTGTTGATTCCACCCAGTGGTATTTTTAACTTAAGTGTTTAATAATAATGTGTTTCTAAGGTCACATATTGCCACCTTGATCTTCTCATGCATTTTCTAAGAATATATTTCAGAGGGGTATCCTGGTGTTTGAAGGGTATCACATAGGTTTAGAAGCTAAGGAGTTATTTAGAGAAGTTTTTATGTCTGGGTAGCAAGATAATTGTATAGAAGACAAGGGAGGTTTGCCCAGCTCTTGCAGTGTGGCATTGAAATTCCTCCTGCACCTCAATTTCCCATTTGTTAGAAGGGACAATAATGCTGCTTCTTTGTAAAGCTCCTGAGATCCCCTGATAAAATCCCAGTTATCTGCTGGGGGCTGCAAATGAAGTTGCGCCCCCAATATCGTGAATTCCATTGCAAAGGAAGTTTGAATATACAATACAAAAATATGGCTTTTTTTCTTTTATACTTTGTATATTTTATTTTATCATATAGCTCAATGGGAACTGAAAAATACCCATAGAGTGCTATTTAGAAACTGATTGTCAGGTAAGATTCAACTATTTTGATGGAAAATAACTTCCTTCAGAAACTACTTCAGTTTATTCAGCAGCATTTTAGTCATTTTACAGAGGTGTTATTTAAGGAAATTGTATGCTGTCATCCTCTGCACGGTCCAAAGATTGACTTACATTGGGAATTCTAAACTTTGAGAATAAAGTGGCTGTTTCCTCATTGGTAGCTGCTTTGCAGTTAATTTCATTATTGCTTTAAAGTGCCTCTTAAATGATTCACTGCCTGTTGTGACTGAGTTCCTTGAAAAGCCTTGTGAAAGAGTTTACAAATCGCTTAAAATAAGTCAGCAGTGTCACTTTTGGAAGATGTTTTTTTCAAGTGCTTCATAGGAAATTGCTATCTCAAAACTGGAGTTGGGAAATAACCTTAACTAAAGACTTAGTCAACTAGCAAGTAAACAGTGCTAATGTGAACGTTCCTATTTGTGAAACACTGAGATGGAAAACAGTACACGTGTGTGTTTTGAAATGATTCCTGTGTTTATAATAGTTACTCCTGTTACACAACAGAAACAAGCACTATTCACAAAGCATCCACATTTTTTCAGTCTTACAACGTAAGAACCCAGATTTAGTCCATTATAGAAAAAAGTAAAACCAGCTGTTAAATATGATCATGAAGTTAATGAATAATCTAGGCTCTACCTTGTTTTTAAGGTTCATTACAATACATTATTCACAAAGAAAACTGAACATGATGTGCATTCACTGACCAGATTAAGTGGTCACAGTAGCACGCTGTGGAGCAGTACTCATGGAAATGTTACTGTCCATCTCGGTTTTTAGTGGAATTTTTGGTTCTGTTTTGTCCAGTAGCCAAAATTGCTGCCTTGGATACTGTATATGCATGTGATGTATGTTGGATTGAGCATGACTGAGGAAGATCATCTGATCTGAACCCCGAGATGATGCCTGAATCCTAGAGAAGACATAAAGTTATTTTGAATGATTTAAAGCATCTAGAATAGTACAGAACCAGTCTAGCAGCATCTCTGCTCATCTCAATTTCCCAATTACAACAGTGTTTGTTATCATTTACTCTAGGAATGACTATACCAGAAGAAGATGCTGATGTGGGACAAGGTAGTAAATATTGCCTCGTGGCAATAGGAAGGCTTCAGGTAATGCCAGTCTTTCTTATAAAAACTACTTCCAAAAGCATAATCAGTGTTGTGGTTTAGTTGTAAAAGATTTGGACAAAGTTCTGGTACTAAGCTTTAACTTTTAACATGCCTCCAAAATACAAAGCATCTTGATGTCTGTGTGCAGCCAGTCACTTGTTTAGAAAATGTCAACAGAGCAAAATGGAAATGTGGTTTTGGTGCATATGTGCACTTAATCCACTAACAGCAGCAAAGATGCTCATGGAAGATGAGCATGTACAGACCTGCTGTTTTCTGGGGTGTGTAGGGCTGGGGTATTGTAGATAGTGAGAAACATGGGAGTACAGGCACTGCAGGTGGTAGGTTAAAGTGGCTCCCAAAGCCAGTGATCCGCTCCCTGCTATTCCTCTATTCATTTTCTCTCTCTGGCAAATCAACTACTTGAAGTACTCTGATTGCAGGAGTTATTCTGAAAATGGTAAAGGTAAGGTAGTCAAGAGGCAGTTCACAAAGAATAGCTTTATTCTCAGTGTGTGTTGTATTGTGCGTTCAAATGTGATGTCAGCCAAGGGAACTGTCAGGATAAAATTTTACTTCCTTTTTGTCCAGCTGGTTGCAATCGATGTGTTACATTTTCTTCCTTTATCCATTGCTGACGAGAGCTCTGAGCAGGAGCTAGAGCAGTCATGGTGAATCTCCTTCACCGCAGCAGGAAGGCTAATTTTTATCTTCCCAGTCTGGGAATTCTGCCATGGGTGAACAGGTTTGAGTCTCTTGCATGATCTCCTATTGGCGTGCACTCGTTGCCATCTGCTAGGATGGCATCACTCTTTCTGATGAGGTAGAATGACCCTTTCATTAGAGCACAGGTGCCAAACTCATCAGAGAACAGCCTGCACATTACTGCAAGTGTTAGCACTTCTGCAGAGCATGTCTCCATTGTGATGGCAGAGCTGAGCCGCAAAAGGATTGCATGGTGGTTTTTGGGTGAATCGTGCTTTTATAATCAAGGGTAATATACTTTGCTATTGGAGAAAAGGAAGTTGCGGGGATTCATATGTTACAGCTGCCAAAGAAAGATGATTTCCAAGAAAATTACATGAGTAACATGTGGAGTGTCAAAACATCTGTTATGTTAAAAGATCCAGCAGGGTATCTGAGGAAGAGCAAGAGGAGGCGCTGTGGATGGGTTTAGTCACAGAGGAGTCAAGGTGCACTAATTAAAACTCTGTTCTGTAACAGCAGAATGATGCCTTTCATACAGTTAACTGGCTAATCTGCTTCAAGACAGCAAAATAATGAGATTTTGTTCTTTTTGCATTGGGACCTTATTAACAGAGATAACTCTGAAGGTTGTAAGAAAAACAGTGGTCTAGTTTGTGTCCTCAATAGGAATCTGTGGATATGAATCCAGCTCTACTGATATTCTTACTAAATCCCTCCTTCTTGAGAACTTCTTGTGTATTTGTTTTCCTGCCATGCTGTTAAGTCTAGATAGGTGCATTAGGGTGAGATATTTGCAAACTAAAGGTTGTTGTGTGTCATTTATCTGTGTTGTTGTTTAATTTATGACTTCCTTTAGTAACTAGCAGTCTGCCAACAGATTTTTTTCTTTAGCTCTGTAATCAAATTTGATTTAAGGTGACTGTTCTGTGGGCTTATTTGGTCCTAGGTGACCAGCTCTCCAGTGTGCATGGACATGAATGGCATGTCGGTCCCCACTGAGTTCTTGTCCAGGCACAATTCTGATGGAGTCATTACCTTCGTCGACCCAAGGTGCATCAGCGTCATTGGCTACCAGCCCCAGGTCAGTGAGGCACTGCAAATGTGGAGATGCTTTAAACCTTCACAGCTTTCCAGTGAAGACACTTCTGCAACAGAAAGTTAACAGTGCTTGGAGAGATTTTTAGTCCTTGCCAATCTAGTGAGCAGTAAGCAAATATCATTTATGGCGTCTATTATCCTTTAGGCTTACATCTGCTTTTCTGAATAGGAGGCTGGTCACAGAACTGAGTAGAATGGTAAATGAAATCCTGACTACCACAACTCTTCCTCGAGTAACTCTCAATAGTTGCAGTTTGGAAGAAAAAATAATTTCTTGCTCATTTGTTTTTCCCATTTATTTTTATTTTAGGTAGATTTATAGTAACTGTTTTTACAAAACTTAGTGCCATAAAATGAGCTGTAGTAGAGGATGTCAGTATCTTCAAGGCACCATTTCACAGGTATTAAAAAAATCACTTAAAATTCATTTGTAAATACATATATCTGTGCAACAGAACAAATATAATGTGGAACATGATGCCTACAAACCTGTTTGTGTGATTCATCCCTGATTAACAGAGTAGTCCCACAAAGGCTGGTAGATGTAGTGTCTGCAAGGATTACTTGCAGATCTGCAATGTGTTTGTGTTGTGGTTTGGGTTTTTTACACAGCTTTATGTTTTATTCTAGGATCTTCTGGGGAAAGATATTTTAGAATTCTGCCATCCTGAAGATCAAAGCCATTTGAGAGAGAGTTTCCAACAGGTGCCGTGTCCTACTCCTTTTCTTCCATGATTTATTCATCAATGTTGTTATTATTTTGTTCAGAGAAGTAGCTTTTATTTTACATTTCAAGATATTTCTTCTGTTATGCAGGAGAAGGAGGTGCAAGATACAAAATAATTTGTTGATCAGTTAGTAATCTGTTAAGCTGCATTAAATGGTAGTTTAAGTGCAGCATGTGTGTTGGCTGTATTTTGAGAAATAAGTCAACGTAGTTATACATTTTGCTTTCTTTTTACAAAAAGTTAAATGAGTGTTCACTGCACAGCTAGAGCTGTTCTGGAGATGTCTGTATAGGTCCCACTATGTTAAGTGGTAACTGAAAGTATCTACTTCCCAAGACGAGCTGTTGCGTTGACAGTAGTTCTACCCCTCTAATGCTGGATTGTTTGTGACCTAAATTCTCTGCTAGCATGGATGTTCTTCATGTAAGTTAATGGAAATTATACCACTTCACATCAACAAAGAATTTGACCCTTTTTCCTATTAGGAAATTGGAATGCAGAGAGAAGTAACGAAAGAAATACAACATATGGAAAGAGTTACTGATTTGGATTCGTTATTACAGTGGGGCACATTTTTACACCAGCTATATCAAAGGCATTTATTCCGTTGTAGAGCTTAGTATTGCAAATTGGTCTGGGACATACAGTAGGAGTGCTTTCTCTAAGCCCTCTGCGTGTTGCTGGTCTTTTCAGCACCTTGCCTGCTGCACTGGAGAGCATGGCATATTATGTTTGACTGATTACTGAGGTTCACTTGGTCTGAGTGGTTCCACATTTTCTTGACAACAGCCTATAGCTCAACCAAGATTTGTTGATCCATCTTGCGTTGGATGCTGAGATGTATTTTCAGCTGTGAAGCGTGGATAAGAAGTGAATTCTGAAACAATTTGTATAGCTAACTTTTTATTCAGGCATGGCATGCAAAAACAGAGCTTGAAAAAGCCTCTCTGGGGAAAACAACTAAATGCTGTTCTGTGTTGATAGAATAGATTGTGAAACTGAGGTTATGGTCTCTACAGAAGCATTGGAGACACTGTAGGATATTGGTACTCCTGAGCTATTTCTCACCATCCCCTCCTTTAAGCGGAGGCTACCAGCCCCTCTGCTGAGCTAGCAGAAAAGACTGTGAGCACTCTGCATCCACTTCAGTGTCCCTTCAACAGGCTGAGTTCAAAGAGCAGCCAAAGACTTTTCAGGATGTTGGTTCCCAGGCAGGAGCCTGGGAGAGTTAGATGCTTTACATAGGTTACCACACCCAGCCATCTTCTCTGCCTCACCTTGGTTGGGGGTGTGATGCTGCAGCTGAACCTACCTGACGGGTAGCAGTTACCAGGAGTCAGGTCTTACTCCCCATCTTCTCTCCTGCCTGACCCCTCCCCCACCTTCCTACTGTGCTGCTGCTAGCACACATGGACTTGCTGGATGGGATAGCTAGGGGACTAATTGCTTTTCCATGGGACTAGCTTTCAGCTGTTTCAGCTCCCTGAACTCGTGCCTGATCGCACTAGTGGCGCAAGAACACATATGCTGTTTTTCACTAGTGCCCAAATGATTGATCCGATTAATTTATCCAAGAGACAGTGACAGAGAGCTGCTGGATAATAACATGTCAAACATCCGTCTCTGAAGTGATTGCCTGGGGCTCCAAAGGGCTGACTAACTAACATTCAAGTTAATGACTTGGTCCACCCAGTGTTCACCGAGAGTGAGATCAGGCAGTGCAATGCTGCCAGTGTCTCCCAGAACTGGGTTGCTGAGGACTTCACTGTCACTACTCGCTAGTAGGCATGTGCACAAATGATTTACTGGATCAGACCTACATGATTTGCTCAGGATCATACAAAAAGAGAGCAGGAAAAAAATGCAGGTTAGAAGTGAAAGTTCCTGTTCACTCAACCTGTGTCCAATCTATGAAAATACTGTGCTGTTTCTTTGGTAGGCAATTCCTTTTTAAGTATATTTTTGTTCAGTAGAATAGCAGTATGATTTGGGCTGTTCCTTCAATCAGGCAATAAAAGACTGAAGTAAACAGTTAAGCTATGTACCAGGTGGTTTTTATTTCCAAAGAATGTAAGAAAGCAAAGGTTAAATATTAGCTTTGAATTTTTTGTGCTATCTTGTTTGTGTGCACTGGTTTAAGACAGTTCAGGATTTTCCCACCAGTGATCTCTATGCTTTATATATTATTACAGAATTAATGTTTGCTTAATTCAGACTTCAGGACAATAGATCACTGCAGTTTGTTTTATTATTGTTAGTTTGGCCATGGAAGTCTCTTCATTAAAAGGTAACTGTGGTTTCCAATAGCACTTCTTTTTTTCTAAAAACCCTCTGAAAACTTGACATTTCTAATTTGCTGACACTATCAGAACCAGGTTGGGGCATAACAGAGGAGGGAGGGAGGGTTTCGCAGGTTTTGGTCAATTGCCAGAATCCATCTCAAAGCTTCTACTTCCTTGGGAAGATGAATTCATTCATCAGGGTGGGAAAATCAAGCCAGAATAAGATAGCCTCAAGGCCAACATCAACAAGTAGAACTTAGTATCAAAGGATCCAGTATACAGCTATTGGATGTCCAGTAGGATGCTATTCAGATTGGACACTTTTACACAAGCTCTGTGGTTTTTACCCTGGGTGTGGTAGTAGAAAATTGCTGATAAAAGAATGTCACTCACTGAACTCAAACTACAAAAGTAGTAAAAAAATAGACATTTGCCTCAGTATTATATTGAAATTTCTTGGGCATTACTAAACGGCTTTTTGTCTTCTGTTTGCATTCTTTCCATTTAATTCTGTATCCAGTTGATCAGGTTGAAGTGCAGACCTTTGGAAAAAACAGGATTGGAGCATTTTTATTAACCCAGTTACATGTCTGTAAAGACAGAGGGTAAATACTGGGGGTTTCTCCTTTTAGAAAATACAGGCTGCAGATAGGTAATAGAAAATAAATTCCAGTGGATAAGGATTAACAATCCACAATGAAATGTGGTATTTACTTGCAGCAGACCTTCCCTTTCCTTCCCTGAGGCACCCCTGAGATAGCTTGGTGGAAAAACAGTAAAAAAATAAACATAGATAGCCCAGGTAAGTGCCAGCTGAATGAGTTAGAACAATATAAATTTTCTTCTGACTTAAACCAAGATTTTTAGATGCCACATGAAAGGCAGCTACAGTGCCACTGATGCAAATACTGTTTTGAGTGTACTTCTTTACTTGGCTGCTTCTTAATTCTCACTTGATGCCCAACTATTGACTTCAACAAAACCTCTTCTATCAAAACCAGAATTTGAACTGAGCATTGCCAGATGTCTGAATTCTTAGTTATAAACAAATAGGCTGTCCAAGCAAAGAATTTGCTCTCTGTTTTCATTAATACTATTAAAATGGACAGTGGCTTATTGGTGTTCTCTTCATTCAAACACTGGCCCACTCTTTCTTGTTTCGAAAGCCAGAATGGGTCCACAGCTTTCTGTAATTCAAGTTTAAAACACACCAGTTACTGCTGTTTACTATTCATTTGCACAGGAAGTAACAATGTCCTTACATTAACCTTTCCAAATGGTTTTGCAGGTTGTGAAACTGAAAGGTCAAGTCCTGTCTGTGATGTATCGTTTTCGTACCAAAAACCGGGAATGGATGCTGATCAGAACCAGCAGCTTCACATTTCAGAATCCTTACTCTGATGAGATTGAATACATCATCTGCACCAACACTAATGTAAAGTATGTGCCTTTCCAGATGCTCGAATATGGGGTTGTGAAATAATTTAAGCATTGCTTTTTGCTGTAAAGCAGCATTCTGATTTATTTTTTTTTTAGCCTCTTTCTAACTACTGTTATTTTTCTGTAACAGCACAGTCTGTAACAGGGTTTTTCTACAACATGAGATCTCACAGCGTAGCTGTTTCTCTGTGTCATGATTCTGCGATGCTTCTAGGGCCTGGCTGCACTGGGGGAGAAATGTCAGTTATCTGTTATGTCAGACAAACCCATTGATCTCAGTCCAGGCTGCCTGAAACTAACACAGAGCTTCCAGCAGCAGACTAGCTGTCCTGATACTGGAGGAAAATTAGCCAGATCCCTGAGCCAGAGAGACTTGCGTGTCTTGCTCATTGTGATCATACCATTCCTTAGTCCTGGGCATCTTCTTTTTGAGCTGTCTACTCTTATGGCCCAGAAAACTGGCACAATCATTTCCTTAGTAGGCTTGACCAGGAAGGTTTCCCAATACTCAGATCTAGTGGAGTATCCCCAAGTATGGGGACAGATCCAACCCTTATCTTAAGAGGGAAATTACAACATCCTGTCTTTGAATTAGTATTTTCAGAAACCTGTCATTGGACCTCTTAGGAGGAAGTCACTCCAGGACTATAGTGGAGGTTCATCACTGTGTAACTGAGCAGAGGAGCTTTTGGAGCCTCCCGAGTTCTGAGCCACTTACTGCAGAAGCTAATCTGGCCTTGTTAAAACCATTGCTTTGTAATGTGGGGTTTTTTATAAATATTTCTTCTTTCTAATATAAACTTAATCTCTTTCTAAAACAAAATCTGCTTCTGGTCTGACCAAAGATGTTTTGCCAAGTTTTTACTTCAGAAGAAATTATTGGTTTTCAGTTCTCAACCTGTTTGACTGCATAATGGAATTGCTGAACGAGCAGTCTGCTAGTGGAGATGCATGCTGAGAGCTCCACTTGCAAAACCAAACCCCTGGGGCTTTGGTATTTGAGCTTAGAAAGCTAATAAGCGTCTCATGGTGTTGCTTGACTTGATCCTTTGGACACAACTAGAAGGGCTGTACATTCACTCACTTGAAACCCAGCATCACAATTGGTTTGCTCAGTTTTTTCTGCATACTCAAAAAGTCAGGCTTAAACAACTGAATAGTTAAGCTCATTGAAAACAAGCAAATGTGTCTTGAAATCAGACAGCTAAATATCTCCCTGTCTGCACTGTATATCAAAATAGATGTTTCCACATTTCTGCCGTCCCGTATTTCTTTTCCAAATAATTTGTATATGCAAAAACAGGCCTGCAAAATTAAAAGCGACTTCTGAAATCTGTCCCAGGCTGATTTAATTGTGTTTTGTTCCCAGGAGTCCAGAGATCAAAACGTGGGGCTGTAGACTTACGTTGTGTTGACTCTGGGAATGTTTTTCTTGCTGAGGCTCCACTATACTGTTCGGCTTGGCATCCCAGCTCTTAATGCGATGAACAGGACTGTGCCAGCTTCTGGCTCTTGTTATCTCTCTCTTGCTAGGTTTAAATAACAACCCAGAAATGTTGACCTAATATGGAAGTTGCCTGCTGCTACTTTGATAGAGGATGTTCCCTCTTTCCTGTCATGGCAAAAATATTCTAGTCTGATGGCAAGATACAACCCTTTATACATCTGCTTTTGAATAGGAGAAAGAATGCATTATTCAAACTGTTTTCTGTTTTTCCCCCTGTTCTCTCCCACTTCAAAGACAGATTTCCAAAGAGGACTTACTGTAATGTGCTGCTATTCCTGCCTGTTTCTGGATATTTAATCTTCTTTTTTTACACGTTTGGGGCCATGTTTTGATTTCTGATTTCCTAGACGCCTCAGGAGTTGTATGTCATGGTAACTGTTGATTTCCACCTCCTTGTGAAGCTCCTACTGGTACTGGTGGTTCAGCACTGACACCAATGTGCATGGCTGTCTTCACATATTGGTGGAAGTATCAGATGCTCTGGGTCCAGCAAAGTGCTTCACATGGAGACCAAGCAGGGGGCGTTTCCACTGCAGTTGTAGGCAGTTCTGCCTGAGACATGTTTTGATGTATCTGTCACTGTGCTAACATAGCCAGCTCCATAACATCCAGGTTTGAGGCAGTTCAGAATTCAGCATGAAGTTGTAAAGACAATGTAGCTAAAATATCTAGGTTTAAATCAGGTTTTAACTCAGGATAGTTTAATGTCACAGTACACACATCTGTGTACTGTGTTAAAGAAACAGAGTTGGTCAGTGAACAGAATTTTCCCAGAAGACTGTAGAGGGCAGTGGTGGTTCCAGTTGTGGAGGGATTAATTGATTATATTTTGGTGGTTTGGTTTGTTTGTTTTGTTTCTTTTTTTCTCTTTTATTTTTTTTATAAATATACTCTTTTGGAGCTTCAAACAGTCAGCTTTCCAAACTTGCTTTTGGTGTGGAAGGGTAACGAAACATTAGGTTCAAATGTTCACTTAGTTCCTTGTGAAAAAAAGAAAAGAAAACTTCTCTCAGCTTCACTTGGGTGTAGTCATCCAAGAGAAACTTCCTGGAGAAATGAAGCATTTAACGTTTAGCATTTGTGCTGTGTTCGGCTGAAAAGAAGAGTCCCCTGTTTGACCACATCTTCCTGTGTAGTTGGGACTCTTTGATTTCCAGAAAGAAAGAATAATTGGGATCAGTGTTTATTTAATATACAGATAGAGCAGTGTTTGAATAAAATAACCCATAATTGTGACAGATAAAGACTACATAAAAGTCTTTTTTATGTATATAAACATATATATATATAAAAGAAAGATATTTTTCTGACCTTTATGGAAATTGTGATGTTTCATTTTGTAAGCCCCAAAGTCCTATATTTGTGCATTTATGAATCCAGCAGTTGTCCTGAGTCTCAAGACTTCTTGTCTCGGAGTGAGCTGGCACAGGTCGTTGCAGGAGGCAGACTGCCTGATGAATCAGCCTGGCTTGTGGGAGAGATGCTTTCTGTTTCATATTCTCATGGGCCAAAATACTAAAGAGGTCAACTCTTCCATTAAAATTCCAGTCTATGATAGTGGTGCTGAGGACTTCCATTCTCATTATCTCCATACTATCTGTGGGCTATCTGATTCCTCAAGGCTGGTGTTGGACAGACCTTTTCATAGGGGCAGCTTGAAGCTGAAGGTTGAAAGAGGGTCTGAAAGAGGATTTTACAACAGCAGCCACAAGGCTTTTATTGCTCCTGTTTTGTCCAAACCAGACACAGAAGCGCATGTGCCTGTATTACATAAACATAGCTTGATAGGGATACAGTAGTATTGTTTCTCTCTCACCATAGAGACTGTTAATTTTAAAGTTCAAATCCTTTTTTGGTTACTCTGATGCCTGGAAAAGGAACAGGTGACTTCAGTGTTCAGAGAGAGAGTAATTTGGCTGAAATCCTCTCCAGTGTCAAAGGAGCTTTCACACAATCTTCCCTTTTCCTCCAGATAAATTTATTTAAGTAAATTTGAATTAACTCTCAAAACCTTCAGATTTGCTGAACCATTCCTTGTTCAAGCTAAGGGCTTTCTCAGTTTCATACCTAACCCGTGTGTGAGCCAGGAGTTCCTGCAGTAAAGCAGGACTCCTCTGTTAAGCCAGACAATACCTTACTTGCTATGTTGGGTATCCTGTAGAGCCAGGAAATTTCTTTTACTCCTTGAAGCTGTGAAACTGAAATTGAAACCAAGAAGGGTTTGGGTTGGGGTTTGGGTTAGATGGCAGGGTGTGAAGCACCAGCTCTCTCCAGTCGGCAGGTCCGTGAATTGCTGCACAGGCTCTTTCAGGTTTCAAGCATCATTCGAACTATTTCTACAGTAGCAGCAAACAACAGCAGAAGAAACTAACCTGGCTTTGCATTTGAGTCTTACTAAGCGCAGCATAGCTTGCACAGACTTCAAGGAAGATACTCTTTTAAGTATTTGGTTTTTATAGGAAATGGTTTTGGGAGGTTGTTCCCAAAGTTCAGTGCTGTTAGCACAATGTCGTATTTATATTGTACTGCAGCTTAACGAGTATTAGAGATGAAAGATAGAGAAGGGCAAAGGAGCACTAAGTTAGAGAAGTGCCTACAAAACAAATACGGAGTAAGTATGCTGTTTTGTTTGGCTCATTTGTATGTATATGGCTGAATCAAGAAAACATACTTTATACGGAACAGAAGAGACCTAATGTGCTGTTTATTGACACACGCACCAAGTCGGTGGTAGTAAAAACAAATGAAACAGTGTAATTAGCTTTCACGTTAACAACAGGATTTAATGGGTGTTTATTGTCCACAGAGTGATATTTAGGAAAACTTCCCCATAGATTTGCCGTGATTAAATTGCCTCCCATAGCTCTGTGGAATAGTATACATGTTATGCTTGTGAACAGAGAATTTCTTTGCATTCCAGAGGTAATTTTTAGGAATCCTCTGTTGGCTAAAATAATGTGGAAAATCCATGGCTCTCTCATGACCTGGAGAGGACTGGCTTTATTTGCATGTTACTCATAGGATGAAACTGATTCTGTATCTTACATGTTCTTACACCATGAGGCTAGCAGAAGGCTTTTAGCCATCTACTCCAATCTTCTGTTTGTTTCAGGTCACGGGTTTTTGTCCAGTTTGCCATGAAAGCCAGTAACTGGTGTCTGAGCAAAATGTCCTCTGGAAAAGCATCAAGCGATGGAAAAACCTGTTACTTGCTTCAATAGCTTGTTTGAGAGTTCCCTCATGTTCCCATTAGTTTGTGGCTAAATTGTCATTTGACTTTGTAAGTTTGTCTCTCAGTCCCTTGACATTTGAATCTCTATAGTTTAAAACTTAAGATTTGGACAAAAATCTAAAATAAAAGCCTGTGGCCAAAAACGTGTCCTAATTTTCCAGAGTTAAAAATCCATGATCTTGCTATTTTGCAAAATCCCATCTATCACCACATGTCACGTTATAGTGTCTCTCTGGGAGAACACCCACATGGTGTGTAATTCCTCTCAGCTGGGTGATTTTTCCTTCAGAGAGATGCCAGAAACTGTGACCACTGTCAAGTATCATTTGCAAGTATCAAGCTTTCTTGTCAGTCCAACTCCAATTTTATCCTCATCTCTGATCTTTAGCAAAGTTTGGGGGTGGGTTATATCCTCTTTGCTAACTGAGCAAGGAGCCTCACAGAGATGGTACGCTTTGCACATCCTCAGGCCAGAAGTAATTTTGCTAATTGTGACCAAGCGACAGAAAGCAACTGTTGATGGAAGGTGGAAAGCATTTAGATGATTTTGCAGCTGCTGAGGTTTTTTGCCATTACACAGGCAGTCTTCCTTGAGATGCTGCAGTGCCAGCAAGCTCCCAGTTTGGCCTCTAGAGACTGAGTCAGAGCCCCTTGTGGTACTAAATAGTCCCAGAACAAGGAACTCTGCCTTCTCCATGACAGTGATGCTCCTTCAGACAAGGGCTGCAGTGGAGCCTTTGCTTTTTGCAGGGAAACTTAACAGGTGGATTGTTGGCTGCATGCTGCTTTCAATGGGAAGTTGTGAAGTGAAGGTAATGCTGTGTTCAGGGCTGTTGCTTGCTTAGGCTGCAGCCTGGGCACAGCTCAAACCCAGTAGTGTGCTGGCAAGACCCTGTGAGTCTCGTGCTGCAAACAGTCACACAAACCTTTGCTCAGACAAGTGAGGTTCCTGATGACCCAACCTGGGGATCGTTTAAGTCCAAACAAGAAAACATCAATTTGCATTTTAATAGTAAAATTCTGGTCTTAATGCAATCCTTTCAAAAGGATTGGGGTTTATTTCTGGTAGGCTGTACTGCACAGTAGCTTTTTGTGTAGAAGCTATTTTGTTACAGTAACTTCAAAATGTCCAATAAAAACAATTAATAGAACTGACTCTGATTTTTTTTAATTGGGAGCTTTGAATTTGCCTCCTTTTAGAATTTAAAAAAGCAAGTGAAAAGTTGGATTCAGAAGATCACTGTGCTAGATACATTACAACTATATAAAAGATCTGTGCTTTTTTATAAATGCAATATATAAAGACAATATTTGCACAGGTAGAATGTGAATATGCTGACTTATCACCACTTGCATGCTGTCCCTACAGGTCACCTGTCAGTTAATTCTCATGACTTCCAATGATACTGGCTAATTGTCATAGTTAAGTAACAGCACCGGACACTAAACACAAATTAAGTGCGTTTCAAGGATGTGAAGAGTTTTCAACACTGAAGTTTGTTGTTCTGCCAGATGTCCCCAAAAGTTTATTGGCTCTGGCAGCTGCTTTTAAGTGTTTTTCCATTGGGCTTGAACCACAACACTGCTGCACATTTCATTTTTCCTGAATTCATATGATTGGGTTAAGCCTGTTACTTCCAGTGATTTTTTGTCTCATTTAAACAGTGGATACTTTTTGTTCAGTTCTAATTAGCATGGAAAGGAGTCTTGTGTTTTCTGTAGCAGCAGTCAACACAAATTGATTTTATGTAATGCCTTGATTTTATATAGTAGCCCACAGAATTTATTTCTGAACATTCAATGCCTGAAGAGCTTTCAAAAATTTAATAGAATCTGCACTTGGATCCTGATGAGAGTAGAATCAAAGCACGTTAAATAGTTCTATTACAAAGAAGGATTTATATGCACTTCTTTCCAGCTCAACAGGTTATTCCATATTCATGTCAGACATGCTTCATACAGAACTTTGATCACCTTTTCTTACTGACTGGCATAATTCTGTGTTAATGTTACTGGAGGTTTCCTGTTCTGTTCATCAGTGAAGAGGTCTGGTATATTCATCATTAACATGTAGAAGACATTCTTGGTGTTTTAATAGTGAATTCTTAATCCTTTATAGGGAGGTCATTTTCCAGCCTACGTTATTTGCCCCCTACATTTCTGTGGTATTACAGCAAAACTCTTCCTGTGCCCTGGTGTGTTCCTGTGCTGCAGTCTTGCTCAATGAAGAGGCTTTAAAAACCTATTAATTTCACAGGAAAGGATTTACTCTATCACCTGAGAGACGTTTCACTTGGATTATAAAATGAGACCGTGGCTGTTCCTTTTTGTATCTTAATTGTTTTTTGTAACAAAGTCATTTTGTCTCCTTTGCAGACAACTGCAGCAACAGCAAGCAGAACTTGAAGTACATCAAAGAGATGGGCTGTCATCCTATGACTTGTCCCAGGTGAAAGCTCTCAAGTTTTTATGTTTGTGCCTCTGATCTTTTAAAACATAAAGCAATCGCAGATTTCAGCAAAACTAAAAGTACTTTGTGACTGTCCTTGAATTCCTTCTCATCAAATATAACGGAGAGAATTACCTTCCTCTGTGTATCTCAACAGGTGCCTGTTCCAAGTATACCAGCTAATGTTCATGAGGGTGGAAAGTCTGTGGAAAAGCCTGATGCTATCTTCTCCCAAGAGAGAGATCCTAGATTTGCTGAGATGTTTGCTGGAATAACTGCTTGTAAGTGAATGTCTCTGATGTATAGTCTTTACCACTGTGCTACACTTGGTTGCATGGTGTGGAACATAGCTTCAGGGGAACAAAGAGAACCTACAACATGGCAGAGAAGTTTCCAGCAACATCAGCCTTCAGGACATTTCCTAGAATTTGCCTGTAGTTGATACATTTCCCCTAAAGATGGTGAGGGGTAAATTCAAGGAGGCGAGGACAGCTTTGCTGCTACCAGAGCTACCTATTTTTGATTCTCTTTTTCACAGGGACACCTTAAGCAGTGTTTGTAGATACTAAACATACTGAGCAGAACTTGCCGTTTCTAAGTACATGTTTTCTTGGACAGCAGATGTGAGTTCATCTCTGGAAGTAGACATGGATTAAGAAAGTTACCCTGTAGTTTTAAGATAGGCCTGCAGTTTTTCATCAAATCATCAGCTTTTACATTGATGCTTTCAGAGACATGTGCTGCCTTGAAGTGTAATAATATACTTGGTTTCTGGTCAGTTGGGGCACCTCCAGTCACATTACCTGTGAGTGAGACCTTGCTCTTTTTTCTACAACTTTTGAACTTGTTGGCCAGTTCTTATAAGAATGGTAAGAGTCTCAGAAATAGTATGGTCTTCTGTAGTTTGTGAAAATTACTGTGAGGACAGTGTCCTTACTGAGTGTCCCCACCAAAGCATTTCCCAGCCCTGTTCTAAGAGAGAGCAGCCAACTTGTCAGTTGGAGAGATGTAGCCCCAGCCTATGCTGCCTGTTGGCCTGACAGACAGAAGTCATTGAGAAGACTGGCAGCTGAAGGGGTCGTCTGAGATGGATCTGTAGGAAACCAAGCTTGTTAATTCCACTCCTCGTGGAAGAACTCGTAAATTGTTTATTGTTCTTAACTGTCCTCACTGAAAAAAGAGAAGTTTTTACATTTGTTTTAAATAAATCAATGTGCAAGTGTCACACAGTGCATGAAGGAAATGACCCGCAGGGTTTGACTCCAGGGCTGTTGGGAGATGACCTCACTGCGTAGGTTTCTTATGTCTGGATTGGCCTTTTCAAATGGAGAGGGCATTGTAACTGCAGGACAAACTTGATATTCTGTCCTCCTGTTATTAGGACTTCTCTGTTATTTTTGTTCATCCTTGTCTGTCTACTCTAACAGTGAAGTCAACAACTGAGGCCATAAAAGGGGTCCATTAGAAGGTAGCAAGAGTCCAACCCTAAACACCAGAACATGTTTTTCCAAGCAAGAACATCTTGCTTTTTGGCTGCCTTATTGGCTCTTTTTCAGGCAGCTCTCAACTGTTTGTGGGTAGGGGTTAGGATTAAGGGTCTAGCAAGCTGTGAGGTAGCTGGGAGGTTATGTACTTGGAAATGCCATTTCTCTTTTCACTCTTATCAATTTACAGGCTATGCTTTCTTTGGGACATTCACCCTGTCTGAATTTCTCATGGGACCTGTGATCAAGGTCTTCTCTGAATGATAAAAAGAGATGGTTCACAGTTAGAGATGAGATACACTGTCCAAAACCAATATTGACAAACCTCCTTGCTGCCTGCAAGACATTTGCATTATGTTGATACCTTATCTCATTCTCTGCTACATTCTGTAAAAATACAGGTTTGCCATGGGGAGATTGTTGCCATAATTGCATGCAGTGGCCACACATAATTTAAAAAACAAAAGAGGGGAGAGGAAGCCTGGCTTCACCAACTCATGCAAGTTCATTGAAGCACAGGGTGATGTGGTTCTTACAGAGGTCCACTTTCTAAAGGCAGAAACACTGGTCCTGCTGGGAGAAGGGCATATCATTGACCAGTATAGTGATGGGGTCTAGAGAGAAACAGGTCTAAGAATGCAGGTAAAACACCAGAACAAAATAGGTTTTCAGTGCTGTACCAAGGGTGAGAGCAGAGAATTAGTGTGTAAAGGCCTGAGTGGGAATACAGCTGGGAGAGATGTGGGCCAAATTCAGAGGCTAAAGAGCATTCAGTGTAACTCAGGAAAGAGATTTTAAAGCCAGTGTAGCTCCTCACGGTTAGTTTAGCTGTTCCCTTTGTCCTGGCCTCATCCTGCAGCACAGACCCTGGAAGCTGCCATGGCAACTGTGCTCCACTTCAGGAATTCCAGTTCATTTAGGGCACTCTCAGTTTTCCTGGTGAGTTGTTCTCAAATGTCTGAAGTACCCGCAGGATTTTGGCTCAGTCTCTTCCAACACTGAGAGTTTGGTATCCCTGTAAAGGGTGACCTTAGAAAGTGGCACATCTCATTCAAGAATGACTTTACTGGGGGGAAAAAAAAGGCAAAATCAACTGTCCTTTTTTTTAGAGATATCTCAATCCATTCCCAATTCTTCCTACTACATACACAATCTTCTCTAGATCTTGTCCCCATTTCTCCTTTGTTTTTTCACATGAGAGCATAGGTTTGCAGCCCAGACTTGGTGTCTGTGCTGGGCAGTGTGTAGCCAGTGAGGAATTTCTACAGATTTCTATGTGACAGAGGAAAAGCAATGGCAGCTTGCATCAGTGGCCTACACACTCCTCCAAGGCTCCTGGGAGGTAATTTGAGGTGTCTTCCTTCTTTCAAGAGGTGAGCTTAGATTCTTGTTAGGAACATAACATAAAAAGAACTTAGGCAGCAGAGAAGAGCTGTTGTGTGTTGGGAGGCCTTTGGTGAGTCATGTTAACAGGATCTCTAAAAGCTAGGGAAAACTAAAATATACTCCTATTACCTGGGAGCTGAATGGGCTTTTTGTCCAGGAGAGCATCCTGTGAAATGAGTGGGAACCTGGAAAGAGTAAAGGGGAAAATGAGGAGGCAGACTTGATTTCTAGGCCTCTCAGAGGTCTGTAGCAATAAATAGTTGCAAAGCCATCAGAGAGTTGCAGGAAGTTTTGCACTTGGAGGTAATAAGGTAAGATGGGGAAGGTGAATAAAGGGTGGTGGGACAGACCTTCAAATGATTTTAAGAAAAGTAGTCATAGTGAGGTTTCCCTGGGCTTTGGAACAATCCAGTGCCAGAAAATTAAATTAAGGGACAAAATGGCACTGTTCACCCAATCTCGTTTCATTCAATTAGAGATTGATCTCCAGTCGCCACATTAAGAGTAGACTATAAAAGTTAATGGCATCTCCATGTGTGTGTTATTCACTGCGCTCCTCTGTCTTACACCTCACTGGGATGCTTGCATCCTGTTTCATGGCTCCCTCAAGCCACATATAGGACATCAAAATTTGTAAGAGACCAGTGTTTTGCATTGCCACAGCCCAAGTGGGCAGGTCTTGGAGACACTCAGAAGCAAAGTATCTCCAGCCACCTTTGGACTGAAATGCAGGTAAGGACTGCAGTATCGCCCAGGTTTGGGGGTGGTCACCCTGAGATCTGCAGGCATGTCACCAGGCTGCTTGGGAGAGCTAGGTGCTCCTCCGTGGCTGTCCTGGAGGGAAACAGACTGTCAGCAGATTAGCAGAGGCGCTCTTTGACACTGTTCCTTGGGATGTTTAACCCAGTGGAGTGTGGGCCCTCTGCTGCTACTTCAGTGCAAACAGGCTGTGGTAACAGTGGTGGCTCTGGAGGGCTTCTCTTGATGCCACCTGAGGCCACCCCCAGGTACCTGTAGAGAGGTGTATGTGCATCAAACCTTCTTCAGACCAGGCTTGTTACATGTGGCATTTCCCACAGGCAGACATCCCATCTTTCTTCCAGAAAACCTTTGTTCCCCTTTTCCAGCCTGTAGCTGGGATGCATGCCCCATCACTCCCCACCTCAGCCAGAGCCACTCTGTCTCACATTCCCCCTCCTGCTTGCATGGTCAGGAGCAGCTTCCAGCGGGCACAGAGAAGGTCTGTGCTGTGTGACCAGAGGGCATGTTCCAGTGTTCCTTGCAAACAATAGCATTAATGAGGTACATCCTGAGAAGAGGGTATGGAGTACACACAAACCAGCTGTGCCTCTTGTTTCATACTGAATTGTCGTATAGCCCTTTTGTGTCACTCTTAATGTGTTCCACAGGACTTCTTCATAAAGCTTTAAGAAGGAGAGACCTCATGCATATATATATATATTGCAATTCTCATCAAGTAATTTTGCCTTCATTTTCTCATGCCCTAAACTTCTCTCTTTCTGTGATAATGTTTTTCTTTTGTAGCAGATAAAAAAATGATGGCCTCAGCATCCACAGCAGGAAACCAGCAGCTTTACTCACAGGGAAGCCCATTTCAGCCAGGACATTCAGGAAAGACTTTCAGGTACTCTAGTCCAGATCCTGAACTTACCAGTTTCTGTCTGAGAGTGGGGGCTGTTCCCCTTTGATCTGGTGGAAACAAAACCAACCTAAGGTGCAAGGGCTTTCTTTATATGGATGAGATTTGTTTTGTGTACTCTTGTCCTACACGGTATCTCAGCACTTAGGCTAGGCTTACAGGCTGAGATGGCTTTGATACTTGTTGCTGTGATGATGTAGTTGGAAAAAAGCTAAGCAGCATCAACAAATCACAGCGGGAAATAAATCTGAGAGGCGATAGGGCAGGCTCAGAGATCTGAGCAACATTCAACCAAGCTAGGTTGGTGCAAATATTTGTTTTGCACTAAGGGCTGTCAGTAGACTTGAAGAGCACCAGTGTGGACACCTTATTAATGGGAACAGAGGATGCTTCATTCATAGTCCTTAGTGAGAGCTAGAACACAGACATGAATAGTTTTCTAAGGCAGCTTCCAAATACAGATAAGGTGGTGGTCTGGCATTTTCCAAGGCATTTTTGAGTTACTCAGAGTGCATGTTGTTGCCTACCAGCCAGCAATACAGATTTGGCTAATCTGAAGTTTGAGAGTTTGCCTTCATTTGCAGTGAATTTTTGAGAGTGATTATATTTACCTTGGTACCTTTCCTGTCACCATTCTGGGACTGTCACACTGGAGTTTCATCCTCCTGTTTTAGACCAAACAAGGTTGTGAAAGTGAAGGAACAGCCATTCAGAGGCTTTCAGTTCCAGGAATTAGAAAACATCTGCAAATGATAATTTTATTTAAACCATGATAAAATTGCTCATAACCTCAGTGGGGAGAAATAAAACCCCCATGCATGTGTTTTGTCGGATAAAAACTAAGAATGACTTGGAGGGGAATATGACAGTAAATTAAAATGTCTTTTAATTGGATATTGTATATTGCTGGATGGTTGACTTGCCATCATGGGGTTTGGTGTGTTTTGTTTGTTTCTTTTGTTAATTCCTGATGTTTTACAGCATCTTTTTTCCTACTGCTGTTCTATTACATCAAATAATGACACATTTGCCAGCATTTCCACCCCTGATGAACTATCCTCCTTGAATGCTCTTCAGCCTGGTCCATTCTAACAGCATTTAGGCACTATTTTACAGGTTTCAAAGTACATGTTCCAGATACAGTCCAAGTCCCTGAGATGATCAGACTTGCCAGTTGTGTGCTTCTAAGTTCAGCCAGATTTAGATGGACCTTCTGGTCCACGTTTGCCTCTTTGGAGACTCTGCGGTAGTAAAAAGTAAAATAAAAAATAAAAAAAATCCCAACAAACAGAAAACAAACCATACAAAGAATTTCTAAATACACGCTTTGCTTTTCAGCAGCTTAAGAAAGGGAGAATGGCAGGGGTCATATATTGAAATGCCTGCCATGTTTTGCTTACCACTCTGGGAGGGATTCTGTCAGCCTTCTCAGAGGATTCAGATTCCTGCTTCCCCTCTGCTCAGCCTTGTTTGCTTCTTTTCCCAATTTGCCCTCTACTTTCTCTGTAAGGCTTTGAAAATAGACAATAGGGAAGGGACGGAAGAACAAGCTGTTTCAATTGATAAACAAAAGCATTTTTATATGTTGTGTCTTCATTTATATTAATTTATGTATTTATAGATGACATGTAAAATAATGAATATAAAATTACATCTATAAAAATATAGAAAAGTGTGTTCACCATGTGTGGTTATAGATTCAGTTGTTCTAGATTTTCATGAGAATAAATGGTGAAGTGGAGCAGTCCTTCATAAATTGTCCTTCAAATTAGGAATTTCTGAGAAATTTATCTGAAGTGAAATTCAGTGATTAGGAAACAGCTGACATATGAACAAGTTCATTTGGAAATACCTTTTATTGAAATTCCAAAGCTATTACAATAGCTTAAGTTTCTGTCTTGACGATTCTCTTGCCTGGGTATACAGCTGCGTGCTGCTCTTTAGCATCAGTTGGTGAAAAAAGGAATTAAAAGCTCAAATTTTAATATATAACACATGCTTCTTCATTTCCCAGGCAGAAAACAAAGAAGTACTTACAGGTATCATCTTTTCGTGCATCTTCATTTAGGATGGCATTTACGCAAAGGCTTAAATAATGTTGACTTTAAGCAGTAGCTTAAAATTCAGTACCTGCTTAAGTACTCTCTGCAAGCAGGTTGTTTTTCATGCATTAAGTATTAAGCTAGTATGGAGCTAAGTGTTTATGCACCATGTGTCAGACTGACTTTATTCTTGCAAGCCCTTTGAAAGAGATTATAGAAGTCTAATTCCAAATGATTTTGCCCTCTGTGTTTATTTGACGGACATTTTAGAATGCCAGTATGTGTCATAGTTTTGTGATGGTTTAAAGTCATTTTTTATTAAGGAAGATTGAACAATTAGTTTTAATGTGATTATCAAAATTTCCATGTGTGGAATACTATTTGTGCATCGAGAATATACTCTACAAATGAGGCACTGTTTCTGTTCCTTTAGTTCGTCTGTGGTACATGTGCCTGGTGTGAACGACATCCAGTCTTCTTCATCAACAGGCCAGAATCTGACACAGATATCTCGCCAGCTAAATCAGAGTCAGGTTGCCTGGACAGGAAATCGCCCACCATTTCCAGGACAGGTATTGATTAAAGGTGTTTTATTTTCATGGTCATTAAAGATTTCCAATCTCTGTGCTTTTTACAAAAGAACTAGTAACCCCCACTTATAACATGATTTAATGTACTTTGTCATTATCATTTATGGTTGGAGAGAAATAGATTCCCCACTTCTGTTATTTGGCAGGTTAGAATAATTAAAGACAACTGTCCTGTGTGTAATTACATTTAGTTTGTAATAGTGTTCATAATAGTGGCAGTCATTGTGCTGACATAAATCCCAGTGGCAGGTCACGGTCTTGCACTTACACATGCACTAAATGAAGGAGAAGAGGACAGCTGTTTTGCTATAGTATGAAGGCTGTGATAAATTTCTCTTAGATCAAGACCTTGCACCCAGCAACGTTACCCACAGTCAGCAGAGTTAACAGGAAGGGGCACATGCACATACAAATCCAGGCGTGAATTCAGAGCAGAAGCTACGTAGCCTGATGAGCACTTCCACCAGCTCCCTGTGTACCTGTACCTCTGTACCTGGGTGGATCCCATCCAGCTTCATGGACTTGTGTGTGTCTTGAGTGGTGTAGCTAGTCACTGACTGTTTCCCCTTGGATTACGGGGGCTTTGTTTTGCTCCCTGTCTTCCAGGGGATAATAGCTTTGCTTGAGTGCATTGATTGCCAGTAACAGTGCACATCATTGGAAGTATCCAGGGATGTAATCACCTTTAATTTCTACTTGTGGAATTGGTTAGGCAGTGAGTTTTTCTTGGAGCTGCTGGATTTGTTCAGAATGCAGAAAATGGTTTATAAGCAGTTTCTGTCTGTAGCATTAAATGTTGCTGTAGCACATGACATTGGATGAGACACTTCACCTCCCTCAGTCTCAGTGTACATGTTGTACATGTTTCAAAGCAGCCTGCGGTGTTTAATCATTTGTGTAACATTCTTGGAGATCCTATGACAAACCCATTATGTAGATTAAAATGATAGCAAGTTGCTTTTTAATACCTTTAAATTAACCCAGCTGCCCAGTTAAAGTGAAGTGAATCTCTTCCTTCTCTGCTCCCAGGGCTGGTGATTCACACTCACTCCCAAGCCTTTTACAAGGCAAAATAATTGCTGCCTGTACGTAGGCAGGGAGAGAAAGCAGCTTATTAGTTTTGAAACATCTTTGACCATTTACTAGAAGCAGTAGAGACTGGTCATCTGAGAACTGTATATATTCTAAGACATTCAGATAACCATGATTTTACTGTGGCACTGCAAAATCAAAACTCCTGGCAAATAAAGGCGAATTCTTTATACCTGTTCAGTTTGAGATTAATCCTTATAATAGAGGTGAAGAAAATCGTGGTTTTCCAAATAGCTCTGATAATAAGTACGTGAGTTAATCAGCAGGAGAGCTCTATGTTTTGGTTGATAGTCTTTTGTGTTCCTTCTGCAGCAGTAAGTTGGCTTTGACAGGAATGAAATATGGTTGAGACTGAAATATCGTGGCTATTTGCATCTGCAGAGCTTCTATAGTCTTTGCTTTACACTGTTAAAAAGTGAGTCTGCTGTACTGTTCCTCAACAATGCAACTCATTCCTTCTTTTACCATTTATTTCTCAGCAAATTCCATCTCAGTCTGGCAAGGCTCAGTCATCTCCCTTTGGGATTGGAACAAGTCACACCTACCCAGCTGATCCGTCATCATACAGCCCCCTTTCCAGCCCAGCCACCTCTTCTCCGAGTGGGAATGCCTACTCGAGCTTAGCAAACCGAAGTGCAGGGTTTGGTAAGTTTTAAATGACCTAACACAGAAATGCACATAAAAATGAAACTCCTCAGCATTAACTGCATTAACAATCCTCCAGCCTGTTCTTCTGGTGGCTTGGTTGGGAAGCCCAGGTGGTGAAAGGGTTTTGCATTCTGCTGTTGAGCACAGTGGACAGAGTTAACCTGTTCCCTTCTTGCTGCATCTCCTCCATCCAACACACTTGAAACTGGCATTTTGTGGTACAAGGGACATAAAAGATTCAGAAGTTGCTTTCATCAGGAGTACCCATCCTGTCGAACTGTGGTCAGCAGGTTCAATTTCTTTTTACTTCTCAGGTGAACACTTGAATAGCACGTATTGACATTCTCTTCATTTTTCAACTTCCCTGACTGCACGGCAGTGTTCTCCTGCTTGTTGGCTTGTTGGAGTTTGGCTAGAGATGGGTTGTTTTGTATCCCCCCCACTACTTAACCTCATTAGAGTAGGTGCCATGTTTTGAAATGGCTTTCTTTTCCTATTACATGCTAATTTAGTGGCTTTCAGACTGTGACCCAATGGCTGACCCTTTGGTAAGTTTCCTGCACGCCACCAGCAGAATAATATTCAAGACTAAAAAGTAGTATGAATCCATCAGTGGTAAACACACATGAAAAATGTAGCTGGTGGATAATAACATGCCATTCCAAACAGCCCAGGTAGCAGCGTGCTAATGTGTGTCATTTTTCTCTCATTCCTTGAGAATAAAATGTGTACAGACCTGTTGCAGACGAGCCTCACTGAGTGTAGACCTGTGCTGCTTAGAAAAGGTGCATCAAAACAGAGCTTTTCCCACAGAGCATTATTCACGCCTCCATTTCCATTTCCACCAGGCTTTGTACATTTGTTTATGAGACAGCCTTGTATTTCAAGCCTAAGCTACTTGGCAAGAACTCTTTCACCTAATGAGAAACATTTCCTGACCTACATCAGTTTGGATACTATTAATAACTCAGCCTTCACAGAGACGAACGTCTTGAACCTCCAGCTGGCTGTGACTGTTTTGCTGAAAAGCAGCATCATTTGCCTCACTGAGTTAATTTCAATGTATTGTTCTGAGAAAAAAAATAACTTGCAGCTTTCTTTTAAAGGGTAACTTAGATGGATTTTATTTTGTCCCATAAAATGGCTGCAGGATTTCTGAGTCAGCTGAATTATTGGTTGTGGTAACGTCAGTGAGGGAAGAACTGTAATTATCCACTTCAGATGTGATAGAAATACATCACTACAGCCTGGTCGCTTTCCTGTAACGTTTGCTTTATTTGTTTTGCATGGTTTTGCTGGTAGCCACAACTATTGGATTAAGCACGTGTTTCTGTATTTTCTGAAGCCATGACTATGAGCAGTGATTGATTTGGCATGATTGAGTCCAGTTATTAGAGACCTGACGTAGCACGCGTGTGGAAGTTTGGCACAGGAAATTTGGCATCCGTGGTGGAGGACATGGATAACTGGGGAGAACCAGATCTACCCAGCTTAGTTCCCTGCAGTGAGGGGAAAACAGGCAAAAATAGTAGGAGTAGTTTAAAAAAGAGAAGAAAAATATTCAGAGAAAAAGCATAAGCCTGGTAGGAAGCTTTGTAAAAATATTAATTCTTAGGAGGAGATGTTGTAAATAACTGAAAGAAAATAATCCAGAAATTTTATGTATTTGGGGCTACTCTGTAGAAATGAAGGGCAAAATGAATCCAGCTTAAGTGTGACCTGTGACTGTATTCATGAAAACAGTATGTGTAATATAAGTGACCAAAGCAATGTGTCTGGCAGCATGGTTTTTTTTTCTGGTAGGCTATTTAGAGGAAATTCAGCTCCCTGAAGTCATCATTTTAAGTGTATTTACCATAATACATTGCTGTTCATGTTACTCTGTGACATTTAAATGGCCTCAGACTTTTAAGAAACCACCACCATATGAACAGGATAATAATTTGCTATAAGCTGCAAGTTAAATAAATCATTTTGCAGCAGTAATATTGGGGGACAAGGTAGTCCAGCAAACAGCACTCTGCATTTAACACAGTGAGACTGCTGTCTGTTGATCTTACTGGTTTTACATCTGCTTACAAAAATCTTAGATCTGCCTACATGTTTCTGAGCTGAGTAGGTAGCTGCACTCACTGCTCTGCAAGAATTAGTCTTTTAAAAAGAACATTCAGGTGATGCAGTTTGGTATTTAAGTGAAATGGCAAATAAGCAGGGGGGAATGCTTGAAAATTGTCTTCCAGTGCGTGGTTTACGTGTCACTGTGTGTTTTGCTGTGAGCAATTCACTTGCTGTGCCTGTGGAGCCACAGCAATGAGCTTTGCTCTCAAGTTGGCTGAAACTGATTCAGGGCTTCCACCCCGCAGGGGCTGGGTATCAGTCAGGGTCTGTTTTCTAAACTGATGTGCAAACACAGGCATTGGTGCATGAAGCTTTAAAAGCAGGCAGGAGTTCTGAAGGAGCTGCTCTCTGACATCTGCTCTTTCTCCCCACATCCAGCTGAAGGTGGCCAGAGCAGTGGCCAGTTCCAGGGGAGACCTTCTGAAGTCTGGTCCCAGTGGCAGAGCCAGCATCACAACCAGCAAAGCAGCGACCAGCATTCGCACCCACAGCCCAGCCAGACCGAGGTGTTCCAGGTGAGCAGAGTTCAGTGTGCCCAAAGTCCCTCTGGCAACAGCTCACTGCTGAGTTGAAGAACTGTGGCCCTCAAAGATCAGGCTGCTAGCAGGGCTTGCAGCAAGTACCTCTTGCTGTGTGCTGCCATAGGTTGGCACTGCTGTTAGCTGGCATTAGCTACAGCTGAGATAGTTTTGTTTTCTGCAGAAAAACAGCATCTTTGCTGATTTAAAATGCTGTTCACCCTTCTCTTTGCACCCTATACTTAGGGTTTATGTGTTTTGCAGGGAAGCCATGGAATAGTCCCAAGTAGAGTGTCTTTCTTACCCTGGTGCTGGCCTCTAAAATCCTAGACAAGTCCAGTTAGACATCAGTGTAATTTTCTTTGATGGTTCAAGCAGGAAAGGGAGTATGATACTGCATAGAAGATAGTGGCCAGTATTTTTTTTAAGGTTAAAACCACTCAGATATCAGATAGCTGGTAAAAAATCCTCTTTGACTAACTGATTTTTTAATATTAAGCATAACTTGGGGCCTTCACTACAGATGGAGTAGGACTTCATAAGTTAACTGATAAGGCCTCTGTCCTTGTATAACTTGTTTTTAAACTAGATCGAGAAGGCAGTTTGCAACAAAACAATGCAGATAAATGCAGAAAGGACATTTCAAGCCCCAAGCAAGATTGAAGTGGGGCACCTCATTATCTTTAAGACAGTAAATCCACCTGCAAGACCAGGCTCGTGCTTAGTCACTCACAGGAATGCTGCAGGAGAGACATTAGCCTGAAAATATTCTCGTGTGAACAAACCATTGCTTCACAGAGGAACAAGTAACATCACTACATCTGGAATAACTACCTGTCCGCATGCTCTTACCTCATGGCCCAGGCAAGACTAAGCTGTGGCATCCCTCTCTGTTAGCAAAGTTTAATGGCTTTACACATACTTTAAGCAAAAAGTATATTGAGGGTAATTCTGTGGAGCTGTTGGCCCACAGAGACATGGGGCTCCAAGCAGCATCTTGCTGTGTCCCAGCAAATGTCTTAGGAAATTAGTGGGAAGGAAGGACAAGGGAGAACTGGGCTCACTTGCAGAGCTCTTAGAGGTGCATTTGGAGGGAATTAGGACAATAGCTGGATGTGATGAGAAGCCTGATGAGCCAAGTTCAAGTGCCTCCAAGAAGCTGCTTGGACTGTTTGTGCCTGAAGCTGGCCCTGGGTTAGCTGGACATAAAGAGAGAGGCAGACTCAAGAGTGGAGCTGCCCTGCTGGGTCTGTACCTGAGGTGACGTTGCTACTGAGACCTCAGCAGCAGAAATGCCTTTAGAGACAGAAGTGTAAATAGGTGAGGGCAGCTACAGCTTCCCCTTGGCTGGGGAGGAATGTGGAAAAACATAAAATAAGTGCAAGTTTTGGTCAGAAAATAAAGGCTGAGAAACTGCCAGCTGTGTTCACAGCCTCTTTCACCACCATCAACAGGAATGCTGCAGAGACCTCAGATGGATTCTAATCTGTTTTATTTGGGGGTAACTTATCTGTACACAGCAGCTCTCAGTGGTTATTCCTTCACAGAACCAATCCTGTGAGCTTTCTTATTTGCTTTTTAGGTTTTGTTTTATTGTAAGGATAATGAGCCATCCCTGGCAAAACTTGGCTTTGCAATAAGAGCTTGTTATTGTAAGGACTGACAGGAAAAGGAAGCATAAACTCTGGTTTTCTCAGCAAGGGATATCTTCTCCCTGTGGCTTCAGTCTCTGGCTGAGAGGAAAGGTTGAGTATTTTTTGAAACCTCCTGCCAGGGACCTCACTTGGCTCAAGACACGTGGGAGCAATTACCATGAAGTCCCATTTCTCCTGAGAAGTTCCTGGTATTTCCTTTGCCTTTGTACATGCATGAAGGCTGCTTGGGCTTCTTGTTGGCTGGGGTGGATGTCCAGTGTTTAGTGTTCCTCAGGACTAAGAGCAGTAATATATTCACTCACTTGCTGGTGAGGAGGTGAGACCCTCCCCGAACCCAAGTTTATACAGCAAGAGCTGCTTTCTGTGCAGGAGTGTGTGAGATGTTGAATACCTCCCATGTAGCAACACCAGGGAGTTTGTTGCTCTCCGTATGTAGTTACCCATTCCAGAGGGAGCTGTGTCAGCCTGGGAAGAGTATGGGGCAGCTCAAATGTGCCTTACTCAGAGGACCAAGCCAAAATTTCTGCCCTGCTCCCATTCAGAAACACCTCAGCAAAACATAAGTAGCACACAGACCTTAGCCAAGCTCCCTGCACGGGTCTGGTTTTCACCTAGCTTCTCTAAACTTGGTGTTTTCTGGTTTTACATTGAAAAGATGAACAGGAAACAGTTTGTGTCTGGATAACATGTTAGGAAGTGACACTTCACTTTGATTTTTCCTTATCGTGCAGGACATGCTGCCAATGCCGGGGGATCCGACGCAGGGTACTGGCAATTACAACATTGAAGATTTTGCTGACCTGGGCATGTTTCCACCATTTTCGGAGTAGCTTGCAAAGCATGAAGTGAAGTTCTTCTCCAAGGCCATTTCAAGTGTAATTTTGGCTCTGCTTTTTCTGTGTTGCATTTCTGTAGAAGCTACTAAACCAGAAGACGCATTTCTCATGTTTTGGATAGTGGTGTAGGGCTTGCTCTCTCCTCCTTAGGGTGCATCAGTGCCAACAGAGGAGCTCCAGCACTTGTTAGTGTTCATTGACAGCTCCTTTTTTTTAATTATTATTTTATTGTCATCTACCTCAGAGATGAAAAACTTTTGCTTAAGAAAAAAAAAATCTCTGAGTCTTAAATATTTGAATGTGAATGATACCTAATATTTCCTTTGAATGGTAATTTTTAAATAGATAACAAAGTAACAAAGACTAACAGAGAAAAGGTAAGGTAATGTGTTACAGTGCCTACCGCTCAATTCCGATGCCTTGCTTGAAGCTTAAGTTTGTGGAAGCAGACACAATATTCTGTTTTCTTTTATTCTTGTAGTTTTTAGGTCACTTTGAATGTGAGATTAAGCAACATAACGTAGGCCTGTCTCGCTGGAAGATTCAGCTCTGCCTTTTCTAACTTAAACTTGAATGTGTGTACATTTTGGTACTTTATGTATATCTTGTGCTGTATGAAGTGATTTCCTGTACTGGTTTCTTTTGCCTTTACAAAGGATCCATTCTGGAGTGTACTGAAAAGGTTGCTGATACACGTGGAGGATTTAGGTATCGTGGGAGTCTCCATCACTTCACATAGGTGTTCTTACTTTTAATTCAGGTGGTTCTCTATTCAGAACAAACATTTACTTACATAAGCTATTAGTCTGGTTTTGCACTGAATCGAGGCCTATAACTCTATACATTTCTCACTGGCTGCTTTAATTTCTATTCTTCTTGCTTTCCCAAAAATATTGCCTCGTAAAAAATGACTGTAAACACGTTAAGATTGCATTTTCTATATTAGGTGCATTTCCTTTCTGTGAAGTACTTTTTTATACTGTGAAACCTCACATTTTAACAGTGCAAGGTGGTGGCCTATTACTAGGAAATCATTTGCTGCAAGCAGTGAGATGGTTTTGTAGTGTATAATTTTTTTAGAGTGAGTTGGTAATAGATATCAATTGGACTATTGTCCACTGCGTACACAGTGATAACTTGAATTTTTGCTTGGATTCCCAAGCAATCCCTTCTCTTTAACCTTGTTAACCCTATTCTGTTAAATATGGGATTTTCAGCTTACCAAGTATGTTGAGGACTCTTGACTGTTCTGAATGCTAGATGCTTTTCTGCAGGGGTAAGTTAATCCCCTTCCTCTTGGGTGAGTCACCTACCATACGTCTTCATCAGAAATGAGGCAGAAAGTTTTTTACTCAGTATTTCATATACATGGTGAGTTACAGAGGTTGGGTTCTAAGGTCAGCATTTTATGCAGTTCATTTCTTCTGGGATGGGAGGAGAGGGAATAGCTCACAAAGGAGCCTGGAGTTCCCACATGCAGGTTGTTCATAACCTCTTAGGTTGGACAGTGGTAGCCAGCCTTTGCAAAGGAGGAGGGGGGTAGCTGTCCTCAGCCTTTGCATATTCAGGGGCCATCACAGACCTTGGAACATCAACCTCAGGGCATAGCCCCCATTTAGAACGTCTCAATGTCTACAGCAATTCTTAGACCTCACAGCACTAAGATCTGCTGTCTCATAGCTCCTCTTGAACTCTGGAGTGCCTCCAAGGGGAGGCACTGTGAACATCACTGCAGTCCATCCTATCAGGATAATGTCTTGGAAAGCAGGCAGGCCCCTGTCCCGCAGCCTGCTCTGTTCACGCAGGTTTCCTGCTGGCAAGCAATGCAGGTGGCTGGGCTGCAGCAAACATGTCGCAGGGACATGGCTTTCACAGCCATATCATTATGTTCCCATCTGGCTGTGCTTTCCCAACCTTCTCTGAGAACAGCATGTAGTTTTCAGTATCCAGGAAAAGTCCTTCCTACTGTTTCTCTTGCTAAATCTGGACCAATCTCTTACCCTATGTGCAAGTGGGGCTAGGGACTCTTTTCTTTAGGAATTTATTTTTTTATATCTCTAGATGCAATACTGGAGAGGCCTCAGATCTCCTGGTCTGTACTTGCCTCACCAGAATCACACTGAGAACAAACAAAACCCCCTCTCTTCCAGAGAATGGGAAAATACCTTCTTTGATGAGCAAGCCATGCACTATTCTTTTAAATACATGGATGTTTATTCTCTTGGAGCCTTCTCCTTTTCCACTCACAATGAATGACTGCTCATTGAATGAGATGAGCAAAGCTCTGCTATCCCAGAATGAAATTCCTTGATGTCTGTAAAGGGTGCCTAGATGCTGCACCAGCTGAGTGAGGTGCTCAGCATCTGTACAGTGGGGTATGCTTTCGAGAGGGGCTGATCACCAGGGACAGAGCAGTGGGTGAGCAGTTTGTGTCTGTGCGCAGAAGATGCTCGACATGATGTAAAGCCCATTTCTTCTAAAATGTTTAAAAATATTTCTCCATAAAGTAAAAAATTGGAAAAAAACGTTGCTCCTCTTTTATTCAACCAAACTGCTTGAATTATATTAATAATATAGTTTTGTTCCTGAATTCAATCTAAAAATAAGTCTTTTAAAGTAATTTTCTTTCTCCTAGCATCAGCGATGCTATCTTCCTCAGTGTGTCACGATTTTTATACTACTGTAGAAGGCTTCTCATGTACAGAAGTTGGTTGTGCAGTTAGAAGTGCACTGTTAGAATTTCAAGCACATCTCTTTTTTTGTTGGTGTTTTTTTTAAATACAGTATTAGTTTTTTAAAGCCAATACACCTGAGGCATCAGAGCCTGGACTGCTGCTCGCCTTGTAGACCACTCCTGTCTTTCTGGTTGGGAAAGGGGATGGCTACTCCATTAAGGTGCAGTCCGGATAGTGCCAGGTTTGGGTTTTCCCTCTGAGCCAGTATCATCTGCCACCCAAGCCAGTGCTTTCTTCTTAGCGTTTCCACCTTCCTTGCCTCCCTTCCCATTCCCTGCCATCCCATCTCCGCAGTGCTTTCCCATGCCAGAATGGGAGGTGTTGTGGTGCCATTCCCGAGCCAGCAAGGAGGGAGCACTAAATGAGCTTCAAGAGTTTGGCAACTTTGTGCTTCTGACCGAGCAAATGAGCAAGTTCAGCATTTGCTGCTGCTGCTGCTGCTGGGCAGCCCGCGCTGCCCTCGCCGTGTGCTGCCGTCGTGTCAGTGGCTTGCTCCTCTGAAACAGCCTCATCCTAGGTCTTGTGGCCAAAAAAGCTGTGTAGCGTTGGCTGTGCTGTATCTTTTTATCATGTGTTTGGTTAGTAAAGCAACTTAGTTATCCTATAGCTGAAGTTATAAAGTGCATTTGGAATGCTAACGTTCTTATCACGTGCCGTTGGTGTAGCTTTGCTGGCACTGTGGCTGCCGGTTCCCAGAATTACACAGGTGGTGGACTTCTTGTCTCTTTTGCATTTTTTAAGCTGGAAATAAAGCTGTGATTTCTGATCGAGCTGTGTGGCAAACACGGTGTTTCTTGACACTGAATCTTTAGGGTTTTAAGCTCATGGAGCAAGAAACTGCAAATAGTAGTGGTCTGGATGAGTTATTTCAATGCGCGGGCATGTAGACTGAGAAGATTTTAGATACTAAAATACTTACATTAGTTTATTCAGACAAGCAATCCTGTTTAACAAGAGGGACTCCATCACATTACCTGTTACAAGTGCTACTGGCAGTACCTATGGTGATGCTTTAACCAGATAGTTCCATTTGTAGCTTCGTTGCCTTTTTTGTTGTTGTTTTGAAGTACAGTATGAAACTGTAAATACTTCTTGCAGTACTGCCTTTTTAACTCTTAATTACTTTGGGCACAGTGTTAAATAGTGTTGGATTTACCCAATTGCTATGACATATATTTTTATACATAGGTGTACTCTTTTTTCGAGAATAATACAGCCATTTTGTCATTAATGCCTTATCAGTGTCATACTGCTGTTGCTCTTTGTTTGCAAGGTATTAAGTGGACTAATTCCTAGTTCAGATATTTTCCTGGCAGTGCTCAAGTTTGGCTTCGGGTGATTTTTTGCCAGAGTCCCATTTTTCACAGTTGTTGGCTGTGAGAAGAGGGGAATGTGGGCTTGGGTTTGTTTCTATTAAGGGAGCAAAGAAAAGGTGATGGCATCTAATTGTCTTTAAAAGGTCACTCTTTTCCTACTCTAAACTGGAGTGAGTTTCATGGAACTGATGACTGTGGGCACTGATTACTTTGTGTAGATTAATGGTCTTTAAAAGTAAAAAAGAAAATAGAGAAAAGAAAAATAAAACAACTCAAAAAATGGGCTTCTGTCATTGTTAGGCACTTGGTTACGTATCTGTTTAAACTCTTCATATTGATGTGAAATTGTGCTGTGGATAAAGTGTATTTTGTACCTCTGAATGTTCTATATTTATGACTAACAAGTACAGAATCAGTTGTGTGTATGTATAACTAATAACTGCCTTTTTAAATTTCATTAAAATAAAGATGTCATGAGGTGTTGTTAATCCCTGTCTTTCTGTAAATAAGTAAGATAGGCTGTTGGCAATGGTCAAGTACGAAATAACTGTGAACTGTAAGATTAATGCCAAAAACCAGAAGATTAGGCATTGATCTTTGTCTTTGAAATCCCTTCCTGTGCTGTGTGGTCATGGATGGGAAGTTCCCCTTTTATCTGTCTTGTGCAAAGGCCGTCCAGAGGGAATGGGAGATCTCAGCTTTTAAAAGAAGTTCCAGAAGAACATTCATCAACAGCCCTGCTCTGCTGATGGCACTGAGGTGTGTGAATTGGTGTCTGTATTGTGGTGGGTTTCATTAGAGCACAATTGATGTACAATTAATTCATGGGCTGTGGCAATTTCATTCACTCCCTGGGGTGGTAACACAGTGGTTTCCTTGTCCACCTTTGGGTCTCATTGTTCGGAGCTTAAAAATACTTGTATCCTTCCCACAAACATTCTGGTGACCTTTTCAGACTTTCTGTGTAAAGTGCATTTGCCTTTCACTGTGGGGTGCTTCATTGTTTTATAGTGTGTTTCTTTGTCAACTTGATAGTTTGTGAGCGGGATTTACCTTGCTAATAAATCCCAAAAGCTGATGACTGGCCCCTGGCAGGAGCTAAAGATGCTGTGTTCTGGGGCCTGCATTCCTGGTGCAGGGTAGGAGG